ACTCATGCATGAGTGGATTCGACTTGTTATCTGATGCAGTGCGCAGCTAGGACGCAGTCACGTACTTATATGCACGCATGTACGTGTAATATTGCGTGCTATATAGTACGCAATGCATCTACAATTTGGGCATGCACAACGTACATCTCCTTCCAGCTCGAATTTGCGAGTTCGGTTTGAGCAGTATCAAGTTACATTAATTCAGATCGAGTCAGTGAACGTATGAAGACGTTAGTGTCTGTCCTATCTATCTCAGTTAGTTAGAGGTCAAAACGAAGGGCAATCACATCTCAGGCGGCAGCGTGCTTATCATATTTTCAACAGTTCTGCAAAGGTCCCGTATGTGAGGCCGTCTCGTCCAATCCGTGTTGAGCATCGACAATACTAGGTCGTGAAAACTAGGGGGATAGCTTTTTACTGGACTTGTGGGCCATTGTACACGGCCGCTTATTGCCGCGAGTGCTAGACTGCCACCGCCTCCCTTGTCGTTAACGGCAAACTCGAAGGGGTTGACGTGGTACCTGCGAAGACGTCGAAGCTTTTGTATCAAGTTTCAACCTATCATACTTTTTTTGGTTAAGACATGACAGAGCGCTCGGACACACATGACAGAGCGCTCGGACACACTGCAGATATGCAGCACGGAAAGCTGTGTTTAACAGCCAACGTGGGTAACCAGAGAGACAATGAAGAGCCCGTGTCCTTACAGACTCGCACAGAGCCCTTCCATTTCACATCAAGTGTCAGCAGTTTTACCGACTCCTTCCACACCGGCCCAGCCCAGACAACAATATTACCGCTTCTTCTCCGCACTCGGTCTTTCGACATTTGTAAAATTGAGCCTGTTCACATAGACCCTTCTACCGCTCATATAGAGCCAGTCCATACACACTAGGTCCACAAGAGCCCCTTTCGATGGAATCGAAACAAATCACGCTCTCAGCGGTAGTGTTTCAGGGAGAAGGAAGGATTCGAAGATCGATAAAGCTCACATGATAGCATAGAGCGTGCACCCGAGCGACCAAACGTCCGTCCGCTCGTCGATCTCGCACGAGCTGGGGGTGTCGAAGAGCTCGGGGGCGCGGTAGGGGGCAGTGCAGTGCTCGGCAGCCCACTCCTGCCAAGCGATAAAGTGCAGGAATTTTAGCCTTTGATCATGTAAGTATGATACTGTGGCGGAAAACCCAAGGCCTCCTGCGCGTGCAGTACATGGTAACTTAAGGACATCGAAGTCGCACAAGTCCATGCTTCTTCTACCTGTTTTGAATCTCACCAACAGAATATGCTTCTTATTCCTTCTAATCCTTCAAACTTTCAAGATCCGTACGTCCTTGGAGATCACAACCCAACACTCTTCCTTTTCTACGGTTAAGTCTGCAGCCATCCCAATTTTAGATCGAGCCAAAAAAAGCCCTGGCTCACATCCTGTCGTCAACTGAGTTCAAGTTGACGAAACGCTGAAGGACATCTTGACACCAAGGCAACGGAGTCGACCTCTGACGAACTCCGTTACAGTTTATGAAAGGTCGAGCACGTCGCTTCTTCAGAATAGATCCTTTTCGGGCCCTACCTGCAGGACGAGCGCCTCTTTCCTGGTAGACACCTTTCGTCGTGCAGGGGACACGCTGCCATAGTCCATGATCACCGCTTTTATGTTTCCGCTCCGCCGCTCTAGCAGCACGTTCCCCGGCTTGATGTCGTTGTGCGCAAAGGGGGGGTCGCTCGAGTGCATCACGAGTAGGCCGCCGCAGATCTGTGCACGGAGGGAGACGCTTAGCAAGGCGTGCGGACAGAGCGGAAGCGAAAACAGATACCCGTACTAACACGCTGGTTGGGCATCAATTAAGTATTTTTGATTTTGCACAAACTTTTCATTGCTATGAATTCGTTTTATTCATTCTGCCCAAACTTTCGAATGAATGACATTTTGATATTTTATCTTTGGACTATTCTGGCTGGTGAAAAAGGGTTTTTGTGCAGATATTCCAAGTTCCATCACGAATTTCAAATGCTCAATGTTTCAGAATGACTTGCCCAATTTCCGGAAGGTACGTAAGTGATTATTAAGCAAAATTCTGCCCAACCGGCGTGTTGGTGCGGGTAGAGGAATTTTCAGCCCTCGAATACAAGATGTTCATGGTTGGTGGGTTCAAAGTGTAGGATCATCGATGTCCAGGTGAGGACGAACTTCGTTCGAAGAGGGTCTGGCCCGAGCTTGGCCGGATCGGAAGCATTCGGAAGAAAAGGGCAGTCGCAAGCTCTTGTGATAGGGGTGGCAAGACTCCACGCACACTGCTATCTGTCAAAAGATTGGTCCCTCACGACGAATTGAACGGCCTTAAAAGATATGCATCTGCAGATCAGAAGCGGTAATACAGGAGTATGTGGCCCCCTGTTCCGGTTCACAACCAAGCTTGCATCCTCGCTTCGATTCTTCCAGGACGGTAAATCAGGGCGATGGCAAGGAGTCTTTTCACTGAGCCATGTTTCACTCGGTGACGTCAAATAAAGGGAAAATTCGGACTTCAAGACGATCTTAGAACACCCTGCTGTAAAAGCACGCCCCAACAAGCTGGAAGCCCGAGACAGTCCAGGAATGGAACCCCAATCAGATACAAGCACACCATCCACGTGCCTTCTTCCGACCATGATTCGTATCGAACAAAATCAGCAGTGTCATGATGCGTGATTGTCGCACTTGACAACAAAGACTCACTTGCTTCAGAATCTGTAGGACCTCTGGCGCTGAGAAGCAATCCTTTGTCTCCTGCATCTGTGAGATTGCATCCTGTAACGTCCCCTCTCGGTAGACGGGAAACAAAAAGTACGCCTCCCGGGTCCAGTTCCCGTCCAGGGCGCCTTGCGGGGAAACGTGCTTATCCTGCAAAACGACATAGCTTGTTTGCGTCAAAGTTGCCACCGGGGTTACAAATGCTCACAGCATGACTTTTTATCTTGGACCATACCACTGAAAATGGACTCTCAGCCGATGGATTGATGGGTGCAGATATAATCTCGACACAAGGAAAATGGAATGGCAATTTTGACACTAACAACTGTAATATCCGTTATGATTGCGAGAAATGTGTCTCTTCAGTGCGTCGCATAAAGATGATCGATCACTGGTCTTTTTCCTACTCCCATGAACTCTGAAGCCCGGTTTAATTTGTTAAAGTGAAGAGGGTCAGGTGCGGATACTCCAGGTTCACGTCAACTGCCTTGCTCTTTTAACCAATAAGCGCCCTAACCAATAAAGTAAGCCACCCTTTCAGACTCCTGAGACGAAAACTATTCCCATCTGCGGGTGCCAATAATAGTTTAACCCCCTACATGCCGCAGCCAGTTGAAAAGCAAAGATAGGTTCAAACCACACCTTGAAACATCTGCACACAGCCTCGGTTCTTTTGTCAAGTGCCACATATAGGGCCGGAGTCTACCTTGACTGTGATGATGGAGTGTTCGAGGAGGGGGAGCAGGTTGGGGTGCTGAAAGCGCGTCGACGAAACCACCTCCTGCTTCACTAGTTGTAGTTGCTCCTCTGTCTGGATCAGAAACTTCTTCATTGCGTACTGGCCGTCATCTGCACATCAAGACCGAGACCCGCACTTTTCTACAACCAATTATTGGGAGCAATCCTCCCTTCCAAGGAGCTTCAGTCGCTGATCTAGGAACCTGGGAGGGTTGGATTCATGTAACCAACTGAAAATCTTCATCAGGGAAAGTCGAAATTGAGTAGAGATGATACCGGTATGGTGCAAACAGCCAGACTTCCAGAAAGGGGTGTGAAAACAAACTCTGTGGGCCACCGCCATCGACCAGTGACTGCAGAAGGACAGTCGTTTTTACTATGTCTATGTCCTGAAGCCCTCTGAATTGGCGACAGGGATCATTGAAAGTGGTGTTGCGCAGCCTCCCTCATTCTTGTGGTGTGATGGGTCTCCAGTGGGAGTGTCAAAGCATCATGACCTTCTTCGCACAAGATCCCCCCGCCACTCTTTTATTCAAAAACTTGCGATCAAGTGAGGAGGTCAAAACATGCGTCCAACTGATTAGTGAGACGCTGTTCCGACCATCTTAACAGGCAAACGTTGCAGTTAGATTGATTATGTGGTGTCGCTGGTCACTGCAGGAGGTGTCCCAGAAGCTCAATCGCCTACTGAGATCTGACATTTATGATGCCCGTTGATTCTATATACGGTACTTCTTTCCCTGATGAACCAGTATCATCTCAATGTCGCCCTCAGTCACCTGTTAAAGATATTCACTGCCCGCCACGAAAGATCAAGCATATAAGCTGCGACGCAATCCTCCTCTCACCGGCTACATAAGAGGTCGGGCGCTCCTGCGGCCTCTCAGTGGGCATCTCTTTCACCAGGTACACAAAGGCAAACCCGCCTTCTCCCAGCTCCTTAACCACCCTGAACCTCCTGTCGCCAATCCACACATCGCTGCCGTTTGGAACCACCGAGTCATAGAGGGTACTCCATACCGAGAGGGTGCACCCCATGCTTGCATCCGATCAGGGAGCCGCACGCAGCGACTTTGCAAACTTTCAAGCTGATTTAAGAGGGAAGGAAGTGACTTCTCACTGGATGGCGATGCTTCGAGTTTTCCAAACAGGCACCTCAACACAACCTGATGTGTTGAGGAATGGGAAAGATTTACCTGCTGTGATTGGAAGAACAAGCATTGATCTTCAAGTTCAAGGAGGAATGACTTCAGTGAAGAGGGGACTCGGAACCCTAATTTCCATGGAAGCAGGTCAAGAGGCCAGGTTAGCGTCGGTTTCTGTCCGGGTTTGAGGACCGGTCAAGGTTGCTGCCCTGATTGCCAAATGGCACGAGACTCGGTAGGTTTAATACTAATCTAACCAAGCCCAGATGAGCTCAACTTTGTTCTGTATTACCTACCCGAATTCTGGTGGGGAAAAGAGAATCACATATTGAACTCATGATCGAAAGTCCCAATTGACAATTGTCAATATTATCAATTGTGAGCCAGTTACTACTGTTAGGGCGCTTCAGCACCGCTTTGATTGCGTTGTCAGAAGACGTTCCAGATGGCGGGTACCTCTGTTTGCTTCCGCTTGACTTCCTCGGCGCAGCTTCATGCTTCTTGTCAGAGGGCAGGGTACAATGAAGTGGTAGGGAAGGAATTGCCGACAAGGGTTGTGAATGTTGGAAGGAGGAGGCGGGTCTTGCGTATCGGAGCCCTTGAGATGGAGCAAAGACACCGTGAGTGGAATGCTGTTCCCAAACTGCAGGGGGGGACTTTACATGTATTGGCCAGCAAATGGCACTGCGTGCGACTGCTTGCCACATTGCATGAAATGCCAGCAATCGAACAAGATTGGGGGCTTGGGAATGATCGAAAGCAATTGGTTTTGGTCAGAATGATGTTCGGTGCTTCTTTGGGAATTTGAAAAGGCTAGAAAGGTGGTGGTGCTCAAAGTCCACTCAAAAATCCCATCCACATTCCTCCTTAGTCAATTTTGACATTGTGTTCTTACATTGCACACCACCTAAACATTCAACCACTTGCAAAGCATCGCCCCGTCATGAGATAAATCTGCTCTTAATCTCTCAAATCGTCCTCAACAACCGCATGGCTTGCGCTCAGCTTCAAATCCCAAGGGCAGCAAGCCTGGCTAAGAAGCTCCGACAATTGCATCAAACAGAGCCTCCACGGTTGATTGTAAGTGTTCCGCATACTCATGCTTGTCAATTCTGATGGCAGGTCCACTTAGTGAAACCAGGAAAACCACTCGGCGCCACCTGCTGCCACCTGTCAGTGCATCATACAGAGATGATGTCAGCGGCGATGCCAGCAGCGCTGCCCCGCTGACTGCTGTGGATGAGGAGGAGCGCAGAGGAAGTAACGGGAGAGCAGCCTATAGTGGTGTCTCTGTTGAGTCATCAGAGGAGGCAGAGTCTCAGAAGCGGCAAAAGCTGTTCAATCAAATTGCCCCCATGTATGATCAGGTGTGTGTTATGGACAGGAGTATTTTATGCTAGGAAGGTTTCTGCCCTGTTGCGGACGTTTGCATGGTAAGATGTACGATTTATTGTGTACCTTTGGAATGGCTCTGGCCTTCATCACAGCTTTCCAGCAAAGTTCTTGAATCTATGTGGCTGCTTTGAGAAATGTCAGAATGCATTGTTCCGGGCTCCAGAAGTTCCCCCTGGAGAAAGGCTTTAAAAGCAGGACAGGGTATCCCTTTGACGGCAAGTATTTGATCTTGTATCATAGGTGGGTATATACACCTTGCAGGGCTCTGTACGCTTTGATCGAAATCGGAGAGATCTGTTCGTGCAGAGATGAACACCCAGTTCACATAAGAAGTCAGATGATTTTTTCTAATTTCCCATCGCTGCAGTCGCCATTGAGGCCCTTCGCATGGCAGTCGTCAATGTGACGAAGGTTTGCCTGAATTGACCACCAGACTTTCATATCTCTCATGCTCGCTCAAAGCGCGTCGCTGTGTTAGCTGCAGTTGAACGACTGGCTCTCCCTGGGGCAACACCGGATATGGAAGCGCATGGCAGTCAAGTGGAGCAGGTAACCCTTTTTTTGATACTTGGCTCTTCTGGACAGAACAATCTGGTCAACGTGGATTCATAAAAGTCTGCACTTTCTGGGCTTCTGGAATGCGCAGTCAAGAGTTACACGTTCTCCTGGAGCGGGCTTCTCGTAGCCACTAGTGTTATCGCGCATCCTTTTCCGCAAATGCGGGGCAGGGAGGCGGAAGGGAACCGAAAATCGGGAGGTTTCTCCTTCTGGATTCGGCAAAGCTGTGCTCTTGGGTATGATTGTCGTCAGACCGAAGTAGAGCTTTGGGTTGCAAGGAGCTTGAAGCAAAGACTAGGGCAGGCATAAGAAAGATGAACGGCCTTTTGATTCAGAGACAGCCGTCGGGCCACAGTCCGGATGTCAAAACAATATTTTCGGATCGCATCCAAGAGTCTTAGGCCGCGTCCAAAGGTTTTAGGGCCACGTCCGAAGAAATGTCCGATGAGCGGCCTCCTTAGGAACACCCGACCTGCCGGATCGGGTTTTGCCGCTCCCTTCGCTGTTCGCCAATCAACGAGAAAAGTACCTGTCTTTGTGCATGAGCAGAGCAGCCAAGGGCGACAACGTTCTAGACATTTGTTGCGGCAGTGGGGATGTCGCCTTCCTGTTAGCAGAGACTGTAGGACCTGAGGGCCAGGTGAGTGTCCAACTTTTCAAGGTTCTTACTTTAGTGCTTCTAATCCTCTAAATATCTGGTTTGTCGGTCTCAGAATCTCGGGCTTTTCTAATGGGGTATTGAGATCAGAAGGCACACTGGCAGGACTCGTAGCGTGTCTTCTCCATCTAGTTATGACAGATGAAAAATCGAAAGGTGAAAGAATTTCCGATGTACGCGGCCGCTTATCTTTCAGTTTTAATACTGCAAAGAGCACGTCGAGGATTTGCGGGGAAGTTGTTCCTGTAGCCAACCACCTACACATCGTTATGACGGCCTATGCAAACTGCGTATTTTCAAGGCTCTCAGTTCTTGACCGCTGACCACAAAGGGATGCCTCGACACAGCAGGCCTCAGCTGGGGACTCGCAACTTTCCAACCCGCTCTCTGGACCTCGATGTGAAAGTTCTTGACAACGAGTTTTGCGAAGCTGGGATCTCCCTCCGTCTAAATGTCAAATGCTTTGTAAAGATTAACCATCTCGAAGTCGGTCAGTTACCCCGCCCTAGAAAATTTGAAGAGCGCCGCCGCCATCGCCGATTATCAGCAGTACGCTGTTGCTTTTGCACACTTCTTGACGTGTTTCGAAAGCCTTCACGTATTGTCATCAGCGCCCTGACTTCAGAAGCCGAACACCAAAAAAACCTCTATCCACAGGTCACTGGCCTCGACTTCTCGTCGGAGCAGTTGGGGGTGGCGGCAGCGAGGCAAGATGCTTCGTATACCGCGTCGAAACTCAGAATGAAGTGAGCTCCTTTGCGCTGAAGCGTTCTGGCTTCTCATCCGCCAGCTTGCATCCGCCAGCATCCCTTGCTCGAGCGGTTGACTTGGCTCGTATTGCCACGCTGGATTCCAGACTACCCGATCGATACTCAGAATTCGAACTTATGGGGCTCATTTTCGCACAGTTTTCTCTCTTCGAGGACGTCGCCTTTTTCATGCATGATTGTAATCGTATATATACAGTATGACGCTTCGGGTTAGGAGCTCGCGGAACATTGAGGCATTTAAGACGCTGTCCAACTTTTCACTCTGCGACCGCCGAAGTTGGCTCAACAAGCCAAACCTTTCGAGCGCCCAAATGTCAGACCAGAGAAGCCAAATGAGGACGACGAATTTCCAACAAGAAGCGGTGGCCGTGACTTGATAAGCGCTCCCCTGTCCAGGTGGATGAAGGTGACGCCCTCTTAGTCTTTGACAAGATAACCAAGGACGGCTTGGATCCGAATAAGACCAAAGTCTTGACTAAATAAGCGGCCCCCTGTCCAGGTGGATTGAAGGCGACGCCCTCTCACTGCCGTTCGATTCGAATGCCTTCGACGCAGCTACGATGGGGTACGGCCTCCGGAACGTTACTGACATCCCCCGCAGCCTGCGGGAGATCCACCGTGTCTTAAAACCAGGTAAGAGGTTTGACTTCCCCTTCAGATGAACCTCATAAGAAGCTGTCACCTTTTCCTGAAGCCGTCGCCGTGATCTTCGAAAAGTTTCTCGCAGAAAGGAATGTAAGTTGGGATTTTTAATGGTAGAGGCCGCGTCAATGCAGCGCTTCGTGCAGCAATCGCCCTCTCTCATGGCGAACTTGATCCCTGCCCTAGAAAAAGGCTTAGTCTCCCAGATTATTACTTACTAGACTCTGACGGAGGTGGCTTCGTCCTTCGAAGGTCTCCTTGACGGACTTCGGCGTTTTTCCTGCTCAACTCTTTGCCAACAACCTAAACCAGTCGCTGAATATCGAACAACCTCAAAGGCTTGTCTTGGCCTTAAAAGGCATCTCCTGTTGCTCCTGAAAATTAAAAGACAGAAATTATCCAAGCAAGTTTGAAGCGAGAGATAGACCTCTTTTGCTTGGCAAGTTGGCTGGAGCGTATGCAATAGGTAGATCGATGTTTTGTGGCTGATGCGCCCCCCTCGTTTAAGCAAAGCAAGAAAGCACTGACGGACGTACTCGTTTATGTTCCTCTGTGCAGGCGCAAGTGTCGCCATTCTAGACTTCAACAACGCTAGTGGTACAGTAATTGGTGAGCTTCAGGTGAGCGATCCTGACGCTCCTTTTTCCAACGACTTCGCTTTGAGATTCTTCTCTTACACCTTTCTGCAGCTCTTTCAGGCCTCGCGTTTTTGCAAAACTTAAAGTCTGTCTCTGGCCGCTTCTTGTTCTAAAATCAGTTACCTTTTCTCAGATCTCAAAGAATCACTTTTAGCCGATTGTATCAGCTCAACCTAAGTTCACGCCTTGCTTATCAGCCCAGTTCGAGTGGATTGTTCTGGGACTGGCCTAGCATAAATCAACCTTTTTAACGAAAAGCAAGCTCGAAATTCCAAATCTGCTCAAGGATTCCGTTTTAGCGGAAAGCTTCATGTTACCACCACCGATACCTGAAGCTTGCGTTTGCTTGAATGTTTGTGAAGCATTGCCAACGAAGCCGTACGAAGCTGACCTCTTGAAGCAGGCTGGCAACTCATCACTCGGATGTCACGGAAACGAAAAGTGTTCCTGTCCTCGGTACCGAACTTCCGAGACATGGCAGATGTGACCGGGAAGGCATTCCCGGTACCGTGGAATCGAAGAGGGCAACTACTGAGTTTTTCCCGGGGCGCAGATGTGACCATGCTACGCTTATCTGTAGTCGAGGTGGGGCTTCGCGTTGGAGTTCAGTGTCCAATCGGTTTTCACTTAGAGCAGAAGTGTCAGTCACTTAGAGTAGATTGCTCGGGGGCACTCGCCCATTGGGAGCCTCACCTTTCGACACGTCCATTTGCGCCGCCAGCCCGTGCTTATCTCAACCACCTCCTTAACCCCCCTCTTTTACCCTCCTCAACCAGGGCTGGTTATTGGATAACGTGGTGGTCCCGGTCGCCCGCCAGTTCCAGGTGGAGGAGCAGTACGAGTACCTCCGACCTAGCATTGAGCGCTTCCCAAGAGGTACGACTGTGCAATAGGGTAAAAAATCTGTGTTTGTAATGTTTCGTGTGTGATTGCAGCAATATCGATCTGAGTAGTGGCGCGTTCCAGTCCGAACGTTGCGCATTAAGATGAAACGTTTGTGTTTGAAGTTTTCCGTGTTCGAATGCCGCAAAGTCAGTCTGGGTTTCAGTACGCGTTCCAGTCTGAATGTTTGCGCATAAGGGTGAAACATGCGTGTGTCTGTGTATCCGTGTTCGAACGCAGCATTTTCCACTTGAATGTAAGACTACATTCCAAACCGAGTGTTTGCTGGCAGGATATTGACACCTCAAAGTGGCACTCCCAATACGGCAGTGGTGTAGCGAGATTGTTATAAGGTCACCGGCTCTCTAAGATCTGCTCCCCTTATCCTCAGTCTGGCTTCTCCGTTAGGAATCCACTCGTTTTGAAAGACCGAAAATGGTCGGCCGCCACTGAACGGAGGCGCATCGACAACGGCATACTGAACGAAATACAGTTGCAAGATCTTGGGGCCCTCTTCAAGAATGCTAATAGCGTTCATTTCGGCTGGATCTGTGCAGGTCGGGAGCAGATTCGCATGGCGAAGGTGGCGGGCTTCAAGAAGGCTACCCACTATGAGATTGCAAATGGGCTCATGGGCGTTCTGGTCGCTCAAAAGTGAACTTTTTGTTCCAAGGGGAGACTGTCTGCAGCAGCCTCTGTAGCGATCGGGCAATGTTGAACCTATTTGTCCAAGGTAGGTAGCGTCATTTTGGAAAGGGCGCTGTGCTCATCCGAGCTTTCTGCGCATGGCTAAATTTGAAGGTCTACCGCTCAAGGTTCACCGCTAGCTACTGCAGATTCACTGAGTCGAAGCACAGGGTCAATTGGATGGGTCAACATTGCCGTGTCTCAGATTGCTGATTGTGGCTTGTTTGCATATGTACGAATGTTGCAAGCCGGTGGCCACTAGCTTACGAGGAGATCACACTATCATGGAAGTTCGTAATTTATTGAATGTAGACTTGAAACCTTGGCGGCGGCTGGGCCAGGTCGCCCGCGGCCAGCGCGATTGACCGACCAGCCTCCGATCCTCGAGAGGCTCTGGCTGGATACGAACTGAGGCTGCTTTTCGAATGGATAGCATGTAGAGTCCGATTGATCGGCGCTTGTATTGAAAAGAGCCATTCATAATCATGTGGCACTGTCGCAGCCGTATGGCCCCATGCGCCGGCTGTGCGGAGGAGTTAGCAACATACCACGACGTTTAATGTCGGACGCAAGGAACGTACTCACAAATCAAATGACTTTGCACGAATTCGCCAAAGGACGGGCCAGGCGCGCCTATATGGTGTAAATCTTGAGCAGCATGTGTACGTCGTACCTTACAGCCGAACCCATTGACTACATTGCAGACCGGCCGTAGATTTGCGGCCAGCCGAGTCATCGATCAGAGTCCTGCGCATTATGGCATATATGCTGATATCCCACACATGCACATTTATGCCACGTGCTTAAGACGGTTCGCATTAAGTTCCGCTGCCGTATTCAAGAATACGATCAACGATCGAAGCTGAGCGCGTCTGCATTCAAAATTCACCAAATGCTCACGTACATCCGGAGTCAGCAGCCGCGCGGCCGGAGGCAGCGACGACAAGCCTGCACGATACAGAAATATATGCCCGGTGCAACTTTATGATACAGATACTAATACATGATTGATGCAGATTGAGCATCTTGAGTCATTTAATGCACGTTAGCGCCCCCTGCGCTATCAAAAGAGTCGGCGCATGTTTTACTTTACGCTGGGCACATGGACGCATCCGCCGCTGCTGCGCGCTGGCAACGCAAGCATACAAGTACGTACAGTAGTTCCACCAGACTGATTTACTGTCAGTGGTTTGCATACCCGAAAGCCCCAAAGCCCGAAAGCCCTAGCACGCTGACCTACGAGCCCTACATTCAATCACTGGCGTGTGCTGCCGTGTCTGCGCCGCTCGCGCTGCCTGGTGCACGTGACTAATTTCTGATTGTCCTCCGGTCAGCCTAAGACCGCAACTTGAAATTGAGCCTGCTGGTAGTGCTCTAAGATCAGTCCAATCTTTGCTCCAGAATCACACTAGCGTTACACAGAACATCCTTCTCCTACAGGAATCACCTTCTCTACGTCTGTCTGAATGCCAAGCAAAACTCTAAGACACCGCCCTTCTACTGGAAGAAGGACTCTAGGGACTCGAAAACCGTTCTCTCCGCTGCAGGCGTTGCCACGTTCGCTTCAGTAATGCCCTGCTCTTCTGGGGTTTGAGCACTTCTCGTTGTCTGCGGGGATTCTCTTGACACCATAGCTCCTTCCGCCTCTGGCGGACAGCCCGCGCTGCCTTCTGGTGTCCTCGGCTCAGCGCCGCTTTCCGGCTCAGCAACTCTGGCGTCGCCTGGCGGGGCCTCGTGCCACGTGTCACCAGGTTCCGGGCTCGTGGAATGTTGTGGGCCCGCCTCTTCGTTACGGTCTTCTTGCGTGTCCGTTTCCGCGGCGAGCGGAGGATCACATTGCGGAGGCGGAGCGGCGGAAGCCCCAGGTGCTGCAGAGTTTCGACGTATTTCTTGGGTTAGCTCCCGGGTTGCTTCTGGAAAATCCTCCGACCCGACGTGTGTGAGTTTCCTCGAACACGGATTCGCTCGCATTGCGTCGCGGCCGTCGTGTTTAGCAAACGTCCGCTGACTTGGTCACAAAAGATGCTTTGAAAACCTTCTCGTCCAAATAGATGTGCTGCTCTTCAGTAGCAGAGATTGTCTCTTACAACGTTATTACTGGCTGTCGTGAACTCTTGTGCCACAATAATGACAACATACGCTCATTGCAACTGCATTGCCATTGGATCAAAGTTGCCTCGCTCATCTTACAGTCTCTCCGCCTTACCTTCGGACGTTGGAGCGTCAACCACAGAAACTTCCAAGCCGCCAGATGCGGCCCCAAAGCAGCTTTCGTATGCTCGCTCCATCGCCTCCTTCTGAGACTGCATCCGCTGCAGCGTTTCGTTCCGCTCCTGAGACGGAACTCCGTCCTGACAGTCCAGCGGCGGAACCTCGACCGCACCGTCCGCCTCAGCCCGCCGTTCCGCTTCCGTCTCCATTTCTTCCTCTAGCGCCGGAACCGCTTCTGAGAAGCCACCCCACGCCGTTTCCGTCTCGGCGTCTCTCATGGCCACTGCTTCCGCTGTCAGATTCCGCCGGAAAACACCCGAAACATGACCAGAACGCTCCGCTGCTGCCCAGTGTTCTTCGTCACCGGTCGGGGTCCGCGCCTCAGTTGGGTCGTGCAGCCCCTCTACCGCCTCCGGCGCCTCCTGCGGGCGCCCCTGCGCGAGATCCCCTAGCCGTACCGACTCGAGCAGCGCCTCAAACATGCTGTACGCCGCGGGATCACCTCCGCTTTCCGGCGACCGAAGCGCATGTCTAATGGGACTTCGGTCGCCGTCCCACCTCGTCCGCTTCCCAGAAGACCGCGACCCGCTTCCCCTTCTGACGCGAGAAAGCTCTAGCGCTTCCGCCGGCGGACTTTGCGCACCGCGTTCCGGGGTCGGGGTCGGCAGTGGGGTCGGACGGGGCAGGGTTGGGGGCGCGCCGGAACGGTGTTCCGCCGCGGAAACGGAAGCGCCGGGGGGGACTCGCGTCTCGAGCGTCTGCATGATGGTGCGCTTGAGGCGCATCCGCTTGTTGCCGAACCAGTTGTTGATCTGCAACAAGGGTAGACTCTTCCTTACAGGTCCGCATAACAACTCCCCTACCCCTCCGGAAGCAGAGACAGCGGAGATGGTGACGCTTTGTTGCGAGACATTTTGCGAACGCGCAACTGCCTGAACATGCGCAGGCGGTTTGCTGTAGCTGCTCTTCTTCGGTTCAGAAGGTGCGGTCCTCGAACTTGCGCGGCAGCCAAACTTCTCAAGAATAGAGATTGGTTGGCGCTTCCTTATGTCAGCTGCTTCCGTCAGCAACCAGTGCTCACCTGTTTGACCTGGAGGTTGCATTGCGCGGCCAGCTCTGCTTTCTCCTCGTCGGTGGGGTACGGGTTCTTGAAGTGATCGTGGAACCAAGCGTTCAGTACGGCTAAGACCCCCTGCAACAAGGACACGTGGCGATATTTGGGCCGTTGACCTTTTCGACCATTGGCCGAAGCGGTAGAGGATCTGAAAGAATGTATCCTTCTAAAACAAGTAGCGACAAGGCTATTCACCGCTTTATCATCTATTACAATAAGATCTGAAGCATGGCTCATTGCTCCGTGGGTCCCGGTGTCGAACTGACAACCAGAGAGACGATCCGCACGTCTGGGTGTGTAGTGCCTATGTGGTATGTTGCCATGAGATAGCAATTAAAGCTATGCCCGCAAAATTCCTCTCGTAGCACCACAACAAGAAACCGACGGAGGGCCAGTCGGTCCTCTTTGAAATGCAGCACCGGAATTCAGACACTTGGGAATGATTCAAAGCCGCAAAAGTGCCATCGTGAGCCAATCTTAATCAAGCGGTACTCAAGTTTCCGGGTTTGAGAAGAAGGAATGGGCGCCATGTATGCGCGGTCGGGCTTTCACCGATGTGCGAGAGCATTTGCATTGAAGAGTTTCAACCCAATGCTATGCCGACGTACAAAGTTGCTACAATCGGGAACTATGAGCAAAGCGCATCATTTGTTTTCATCGTTGTGGAAGTACGAGCAGAGCAAAGATTTCAAAGCAAACAGCTTACCGGCGCCAATGCCCTCCCATCCCCGCCCCTAGTTTCTCTCTGCCGACTGGACCCCCTTGTATCCTGCGCCGAATGTTCTCCCCTCGGTGCCTTGCGCCTTTTCACACCCCCCGCCGCTCTCGCATTCTCCGGCCGCCCCTCTTCAACGGGCAGATTCAATCCGACTTCCGGAGTCGCCATTATCACTCGCCCCAGTCTCACCTCCAGATTTGCATCCAGGCCGTCCAAGTCTGTCAGAAAGTCCGGCGGAAGAAAGGACGGCCCCTCTGACTGGAGCAAAGCCTCCAAACCCTGCGCGCTCTCTGTGTCGCGCGCGCCGCCGTCCGCGAGCGGCGGCTCGTCGGCGCTTCCAAATTCTGCGCCCGTTCGTCCCCTCTTCGACGATACTGCTTGTCTGCCCCCCCCCTTTCTTTCCCGCTTTTTCTTCGCCCCCTTGCTTGCTTCTTGCTGATTGTGCCCGCATTCAACCTGCTGCTTATCTCTCTCTTTACTTTCGCGCCGCTTGGATGCCCCCGTGCTCCCCTGCCGGCCACGTGTCCTCCTCTCATGTGCAGGCGCGTCCCGCTTCCGCTTCGATCCAGTATCAGTCGAGCGGCACCGCAAAATCAACGGCTCGTCTTCCTCCGAAACGGGGCCCTCGTTAACCTGCGCTTGCCACGTGGCATCCCACGGTTGGCCAGGGCCCCAGCCCACGTACTCGTGGCTGCCCTCTTGGCTCACGACCGGTGAGAATGCGCTCTCCTCCTGATTAAGCCAACCCCCGGCCCAGCTTTCCGCGGGTGTTAACACCGTCGGCGTGGAAGTCCAGGTCCCTCCCAAGCGCTCCGGTGGGAATGCGCCCTCGGGCAGCCACCTGGCCGCGGCCGCTAATGCGCCCTGAAGATCCAATGGAAAGGCGCCTCGGCTCCACTCGGACTCCGGAGAAAGGGGGCGGGTTTGGTTGCCTCGACCGGGTGTGAATACGCTCGGTGTGGGCCTGATTGGCCCCTGCCGTGGTGGGAATGGGTTTGGGACCGGTGTGACCACTCTCTGCACCCTGCGGACCATGCCTTCCTCGCGTGGCCGACCGCCGAGCGCTTCGCCGGCGGCGCCCGGGTACCACGGCACAGCGCGCGCGCGCTCGTTTGCCTCTTCCGAAAACGCGATCTCAAGCCGCCCTAGGCCGCGGTCCGCGGCCGCGCCGCCTAAGGACTGGAATGCGGGCGCGAGCCCATGCCGCGTTTGCCAAACCTCCAAACCCCGACTCTCTCCTCCAAACCCCTGCGCCCCTCCCGCGCCGCCTGAGTTTGGGTAACTTCCCGGGGTTTGGTAGGGGTCGAAGCTAAGCGCGGCCGCGGCCGCGTGCGGCCGCCCTTCTTCCGTGAGGAGGTCGAGGCTGAGCCCGAGGAGCGCTTCCGCGGTGGTCGCTGTTCTGCTGACGTAGGCAGGGTCGGAAAAACGCTCGACGGGACACCCTGCACAGGATGAGGGACTCCTAACAGAATTGCTGGTAGGTAAACAACTCGCCGAGAGCGTGTTGAAGTCGAGTATCATTCTCTCGAATCGATAAAACACTGAGAATAAAGAGAAGTCTAGTTCTGGCCGCTCGTGAGACGTTGAGGTAATAAGGTTGGAACTATGGAAACTTGTCGGTTCGATAGCAAAGATCGCCCTTTACCTTGCGCCGGAAGGCTCTTAGTAAACATTAAAGAACCGCCACACCACTCGACCATAACATAAATCAGGTGCAGGGAAAAGGGAACTAATGCGGAGGAATGTGCACAAAAGGGCACGTGAAATCTGCATATCTCTAAAAGAACCAAGCGAGCTAGCTAGCTCCTTCGAACGCCCACAATCAGTCAGATGTATAGCTCTCCATTTCTTGCTCTATGGAAGTCAAAGGAAAACAATTTACGCCCTCCACTACTTCTGCCCGCTTTCTGAAATGTGCTTTGGTTAAATTTGCAGTAAACTTACTTTGATTTGTCTCGGCTGCCCGAAACTGCTCCTCCTGCAGCCTGTCGTTCATGTGCACATCGTCCTCTGCAAAAATACCGCGACTGCCAGGTCTAGAGGCGCGCGGCCCCCTCACTCCCGGCGACTGTCCGCCCCCGCGCGCGTCCCATTCCGTCGCCGCGGTCCTCCCTGCCGGGCTCGTTCGAGATCCGTTCTGGCGGCCCGTTGGACGGTCTGTTTCGGGATCGTACCACAGGGCCCAATTGCGAGCGTGCCGTTCGAGGGCGCGCGCGCGCGCCGCTGCGACGATTGCTTCTTGACCGTAGAACCGGTCTTCTTCTTGCGCGTACGCAACGGACGCGCCGAACTGGTTCTCAAAGCCGTCGTCCGCATCTGGGCCCGCTCTCGCCTGTCTGCGGATGAAGTTGGGCGCTTCTTCGTAAAGGTTTGGGGCTTGGCGATTCGCCGCCCGACGCGGCTGAAGCTTCTGCCGCGGCGGCTGGAAGGCCGCCCGTGGGGTTTGAAGGTTTTGGTAGTGCTCGGGGCGAAATGGCTGCGGGTTTTCTGGGAACCACTCTGAGAAGTGGACGGGCTGTGGGGTTATGAGGGCGTGTTGTGGCGCGCGCGCGAGGCGCGTGCTAGGGAAGGTGGATGAGCCCCTCCTCTCCATCGCGTAGACATCGTTAGCCAGTGACAAGAAGTCACGTGGCATACGTAGGTGCATCTCCTGAACCGGATCCATTGACTCTGCGCCGCCATCTATCCCCGCGCCCCGATGCGCGCGCTCAGAGGTGGGCCTCTGAGGTGCGACTGCGGTTCTGGGCGACGCATCAGCAGCTTCGGATGTGGCTATTGGTTGCCGAGGAGAGCTCTTCGGGGGAAAGTGTACTGGGGCTCCTTGGGGAGCTTCGGCTGCCGACGGTGCTCCTTCGAGTACCGGCCGCTGATGAGACACGAAACAGAAGAATAAATTCGAGCGGCTTCACTTGCACTCTCCTACTTTTCAGGTCAGCGTTCAGATAAGCGTAATATACTGCCAGTGGAATGACTTTTAGCTTCTTGAATCGTCGGCGGAGCGCAGAGAAGCGGCACTCAAACGGCAGAGAAGCTTCAGAGAAGCATTGAAGACGATGCATATGCACAAGAGGAATGTACCAGAAGAATATTGGGAACAAAAGCTTACCAAAACGTCTCGTGGCAACTGGTTGACTTACCGTAGAAGGTGTGGCATCAAGGTCTTCTTCCTCGGGCTGACTGTGCTGTCCATACAGGGCCTGCAAGTAAGAAACATCAAGACGCTTGCTCTCAGGCGGCCACAGCACACTCAGAAGTTCAACGATGCGAACATAAAAAACAGGGGCCGTTTTATGGCGGCTGTTTGTGAAGGTAGACATGTTCAGTCTCCATCTGGCCGCTTCGAGCCCTTCTAAGTGTTCGATGGCTTCATCCTCCAGAGGTTTCAGAAACCCGTACAGATGCATATAATCGGGGAATGCTTGCAAGAAGTGCGGTCGACGACTCCATAACTGTCTATTGCGCACGAAGATAAAGCAATCGCACTCAGGTGAAGATAGATTCAGTCCCGTCAATACGTATCCGAAGCTGTAAAGCACCTCCTTAATAGCAGAGGAGAAAGGACACGAAGAAAGTACATCCTGAAGGGTTGGCCTCACAATCTGTTGCCCGGAGTCGATTGTTACCTGAGTAACGAAGTCGCGAACCGCGCGCGGTGCCATTTCTAGCGCGCCCGCGGCAACGTTTTCCACAGTGTCTTCTCCCGAACCCGGCGTCTCGCTTGAAGGAAACTCCTCCGTGAATCCTTCGCCTGCTTGCGCGGCCCGTATCTCCGCCGAAAAGGACCCACGCGAGACACCAAACCCCTCGCGCGAGACTCCAAACCCCTCAGACAAACCCCTCGGTCTCCCTTGTCCCCGGTTCCCTCCTCCGGTCACCTGCTCGACAAGCTCTCGCAGCTCTGCTTCCTTGAAGATGTCGTCTAAGGCGGTGTAGGCCCGTTCCGCTCCCGCTGCGTCTTCCAACATTCCGCCCAAGGACAGCACCGGAAGGTCCGGTGTGCTGCGGGGAAACTCGGCGCGAACTGGTTGGCGTCTGTAGAGCTCCCAGGACGGATCGACGGTGGCAAAGTGACCCGATCCGTTCTGGAAAGCCCGGTCTGATGGCATCTCAGGTGGCAGCACCATTGTTTTGGGTTTTACTCCAGGCTTACAAGTTACTACAGGGAACCGACGACCTCTCCGGCCGTTCTTCTCGACTCCTTCCCCTGCCCGTTTCCGTTTGGTTTCGTTAACTGGTATTTTCTGACCCCTTTCCTTCTTGGTGTTCCTTTTCTTCCTCCCGTTTCTCTGCGCTGGAGGCCCTGCAGTGGTCGGGGCACTGCCCCGCAAAGCAGGTTCTAGAGGTGCGGTCTGAGAAGCAAGGCCTTCGTGACTGAAGCTCCCTGTTTTGATGAGCATGGCGTGGTCGGTCGCGGCTTTGGCGCGGGTGAGGATACGCACAAGGTCGAGCTTAAGGGACGGAGGGAACGGGAAGCCGAGGTCGACGGGCGTGGGCGCGCGCGCGCTCTCATCCTGCAATACGAAAGGAAGCAAAATCCTGAGCGAGACGAAAAGCCGAATGGTTATACCCCCTGAAAAGACCTGGTGAATGTTCGAAGGACAGTCTCGCTGAAAAAGTACGCTGATCCAGTCCAGAAAGCACGCCTTGAGGGATAAGCAGAGCTCTCATCATCCTGTGGAGCCCGGTTCAAAGGCCAATCTCATTTTGAACACAACAAACATGCACTCGCTTTCTCACTTCTTGTCCTCGCACGTTTGAAGGATTTGCATTATCCTCAGAAAGACCTATGGTTTTTTGTCTACTGCGTGCAACTCCGTTGATTGAATGGTCACCATGGATAGTCAACATTCCTTCTTTTCTAGCACTGGGAGAGGTGAGGAACACATGTGTGCTAACTTGGCGTGAAAGAAGTCGCGAGCCCCTTTGTGCAACTCATGTTCTCAATGAGCTCCGTTGAACATGTACTACCCGATTCCTTATTTCATAACTCTCGAGCAGCCTGTTGACAATCTTATCTATTCTGCTGGCCATAAATAACAATAGACAATTTGGAGGTTGAGACAGCTTCTCACCTCGTCCTGAGGAGCCTGCATCCAGTACTTGTCCTTGATCACTTCCTCTTGCACGCTTTCGTCCACTTCTTCCTCGTCAGCGCGAAGTCCTTCCTCTGGCGGATGTAAGTCGGGTCCTGCCTCTTTCAAACGGACATGTCTATCAGCACCCTCTACTTGGCCCTCCTCAGTCACTAAGAAGGTCCTCGCATTCCCATTTGCCTGCTCTGGTGTGATCTCGGGTGCAGCTTTTCTGCTCTCAAAGCCTGGCTCTGCATTCCAAGCCTCATACCAGTCCTGTTGCTGAAGAGAGACTTCAGTGCCATCTTGAGACCCAGGAAAACCCTCAGTCAACCCTAAATCAGAGTTATGGGCCATCTAGAATCAGAAAGGGAGCAAATGGATCAAGTTAAAGCCAGGTCTTTTCAATTTTCTGGCCAGGCTTGTGTCTCTCCTTCCGCTTGCAGGATGGTACAAGCGAAGCAGCCTTTGCTAGATCTTGCCTGGTGCGGTCACAGCATTTCTCCTTGAAAAGGCGTGACAAACTGGATCAGGAGGAGTTGTGCTGAAGGAGCGATGGAGCAGATTGCGCGGAGGACGATCACGACCTTTTCAGAAGCTTCAGCTTTCCATGTGAACTGTGTCTATGTTAAGCAGATTGCCACCTCCCTGTCAGCACGAGATGTGCTTCCAATCTCTTATCTCGTTTCAAGTCATCTTCTTGCAGCGTGCAAGATCCATCACCATCTGCAGGTAAAAGGATTTCCTGTGAGTGCACAGAAGGCATTGATATATAGCGGGCAATAGCAGAGTTCCCTCTCGAGCAGAATCTGAGAAGCTAGCTATGTTGCCAGGTTCAGGTGGGGGACTCGTGAAGGTCTTAGAAACTACATTCTTCATCTGCATCCTAAAAGCCACGGTTTGGTGGTTTCGAAGAAGAAAAGAACATCTGAAGCATCGCTGAGACAAGCAGAACAATGAAACTTTTGGAACTTAGCACAGCTGCCTGAGCAAGTCAATCTTTCTCTTATGCGCACAGCACAAATTCCATTAAAGACTCCGCTCAAAATTTGTATGCTTGAGGAAAGAGAAAACGACCAGTTCATCCATGCCGTTCATGTGAACCACGTGTCTACCGCTGATGTGGCATAGTGCAAACAGGTGCGTTGCTGAGCGCAGAGAACCCTAGCCTTCATCCGCCCTTGAGGTACTATCAATCGTTTCTGTCCCTTCTGCGAAGTCCTCTGCCTTTCTACCCTTTGACAATTTGTCATCTTCCGAGGCAACAACAACGGACGACAAGGCCACGCGTTGCTCATAGAAGCAACGCAGAGTTCGAAGGCTTGCTTACCCACTTGCAGAAGTGCTCTCTCGTGGCCGCATGCACCCTTTTGATTGGCGAAAGTTCAGAACTTACTGCTCCTCTGAGACTTTTGACAAAGCCTTCCACCTCCTGATATCTGTACAAAGCAGGTGCGCCGACCCGAACACTGTCAAGGTGTTGTCCGCCGCTTCGCGCGAATTGCGCGCTCTTCGAATGTCCGAGAGAGCCGCTTGCTAAGTAGCTGTTTCGCTTTCATGCACCGTCTCAATGCTGCGGAATGCTCATGACGTCCAGACATCCAGAGACATCGAACACTCAGCCTTCCTTCCGCCTTCGTCTTGCTCTTGAGATGTCGAGAAAGCAAAGTAGCGAAGGAGTCTGCGACGAATTGGACCTCATCAGCTCTCATCAGCTCTCATCAGCTCTCATCAGCTCTCATTGGCTCTCATCGAGGAGATTGAAAGCCGCTGCTTAGCCTGGCTTAGCTGGCATCGTCGTCACGATGTTGCATCGTTTGAAGGTGACGTCGGATGCGCTGCAAGTACGAAACGTCAATCAGGTTCAGAAGTGGCTTGAACTTTGATTGTCAACAACTCGATTGACCTTCCAAGAACCGTTCGTTCATGTATTCGCTGAGCGCTCTCGCGGGGCGGCGCGGCGCGGCGGGCCGCCCGCGGTCCTCTGGCGCCCGCGCGGCCAGCCGCGCCTCCGACACTCGTGCCATGCAGGCTTCCTTGTCTTCAGTCTTCAGATTCATTCGAAGGAGGAAATCATTTCCAAGCGCTTCATTAGAAGCTTAGAAAGTGAAGCAGCCGGCTGTTTAGCAGGGATTAGGTGCTATACAACAGGATCACAGATGGATTGCTGTGGGGGAATGAAAATAAAATTGGGCTTGTTTTAGTGGCGTAAAATCAAGTTTGTTTGCTGCAAACAGAATCTAAATGAAGCTTTGGCGGTTTTCGCTGGCGATCTCTGATGTTGTTTTTGGCAAGTCAGAAATAGAGCGGCTGTAGGTTTTGAGTTACCTTTACCTAGCGGCCAAGCTCCGGAGATGAGCCCTGACAATACATACAAAGACATGGCGGTCGAGAATGCAGGACGTATATCGTTCTGTGCTGTCGACTTTAAGTTTGCCACCGATGATGCTGTCAAACAGTGGTTTCAGGAGGGGGGTCTTTCCAAGTGGGTTGTGCCAGAGGCATTGCCAACAGGCAGGTTCGCTTATGAGGTCGCTTGGCGAGTGGTAAGGTCCAGTCTCCTTCTCCTGCATCAGCGCTTTCTCGACGCCTTTGAAGTCTACCACTCAACTATCATGGAACAGGCATTGATCACAAGCATGCCCTTAGCATCTGGAAGGTGTTGCTGTGAATATCATCGTTCTGCATTGCTTCCTTACAGCTTAAAGATTTTTCTTTAGTACCGCCAAATACTTTTGTAGAAACTTCATGAAGAAAGGCCGAGAATCCTGCTGATACTGATCAGATTTCTCAGGCGAAGCTCTAGCATCGCTCGCACACACCCTGAATATTCTCCTCAATGTACACTACGAATCAGGTGGCAGTATCCACCTTCTTACAAAAGGGCATGCAGAGCACAGTCTGTGTTTCCCCTGCTTGCAGGTCCTTGGAGACCTCCCAGCAAAGCGCGCGCCTGCTGTCCTGCAAGCGGCTGGTGTAACCACAGATGATTCACACAAGGACACGGGTTACGTATTGGGGGACAGCATAGTGGTGGTAGATGCTGAGGTAGGCGTGCCGAAAGTGATTTGAGTCGTTTTTTATGTAAGCACCATGTTTGCTGCTGCCTTGCGCTCGCCAGTTGCTGCATTCAGCATTCCAAGCAGCTAAGATCCTGCACTTCAAAAGGATGGCCGCTGTCTCCATGTTAGTCTTATCTGAACGTCATGTGGGCGCAAAAGGTGATGGGAAAGTCAGAAGTGTTCCCATACGACACATAGTATCATACAACGGCACAAGTATGTAGACTGAGATGCCAACATTGACCACTGAGAAGGTTGGGCTGCTTAATTATGTGCATACCAACTGACTGCTGCAATTTTTCTGCCTCTGAAGATCGATCAGCTTGCGGCCAAGAGTGGGGGCAGTGGTCCTTCTCATGATGAAGGGGCTGCAGCCACTGCCATGGCGCAAGCTGGGAAGCAGAAGCTAAAAGAGATGGTACGTGCTTCCATAACTTCCTTTGTCAGGTTGTTATGAAGTTCTGGGACTTCGGGTGCTTCATTAGTGTTGCATACCTTCAAAGATTGGACGGAGATCTTGAATGCATATTGACTTGAACAACTACGCCTTATCATGCTGGTTCTATGATGGCGATCAGGGGTCACTTCGACGAAGTGATCTGGGAAGCAGCAGATCTTCTGTCAGACAATGGAGCGCATCATAGTCGTTGGGTGCATTAGTGATCCTACTTTTCTCAATGCAAGCAAATACCGCTTGTTGCTCCGCCTGTTGATTCTTGTGGCCAGAAGAGCTTAGTGACTGCGTCATTGATATTCTTGATGCAGGCCAACGAGCTCATCTTAGCAGGGTTGATGTCAGTGCAGCAGTTGGCTGAAGTGGCAGAGGTGAGCGCGTTCTTCTACTTGTTCGAGTCCAGTTTGATGTTCCCGCCAGCTTCGAGTAACACGACACTGATGATGCATCTGTCTTTGTTAGACCAGCAACCTCTCCCAAACGATGTTGGCTAAAGCAGTCTTGTTGGACCCAATTGTTTTGAGATTTCAAGTATCATGTGGGCGGTACCACTTATCTTGAACAAGGAACGAGCTCCAAGCACGGATGTGATGCTTCGTGTTGCTCTTTGGTTTGAAATCCAAGTTTCTGTTTGCAGACCGAGTTCTTACTGGAAGGAGGCTACACCTTCACAAAGCAGCCACAGTTCAAGGGCAAAGTGGTGAGGCGTCGTTTGGATGCGCTGCCACCGACGATGAGAAACGTTGTGCGCCCCTCCTTCTTCCTGTGTAAATCTTGCCGTCGCTCCTAGGCTATTCACGACATCTAGTGAGTTTGCTGAAAGCGTCATTTCTATATCCTCGTTCAGTCTGTTCTGGTAGCGACGACTGACGAGTCCTTGGCCTGCAGATTCGTGTAAACACAAAGCTGATGTACACACAGACCAAGTTCAATCTGCTCGCTGAGGAGTCAGAGGGTTATGCAAAAGTGGTGAGCAACCCTTTCCTCTCCTTTGTGCTTTCTGTTGGGGCTAGCAACATCGAAGTAGATGTGACTAACCATTTGGTTTGAGGCTTGCTTGGATATGAGGATGCTTCACTTTCTTGATCGAACACAGTCCCTGCCTATGCTTTTACCATGTTCATTATAGTAAGGAGCTCTACATCAGCTGCTCCTTCTTTTGTCACGCCTACAGCAACTTCGTTTGCAAAACGCCGGTTCTAATTTCCTCACCGGCTTTGGTTTTTTGAAGAAGCATTCTTGTCTTCCGATCAGGCGACGCTTCTCGGCCAGGAAGGCACCATCACCGAAGGTTCTCTCGAGAGTGCCAAGCGGACCATCCAGTCGCTGATTGGTTTCTTTGACCTGGATCCGAACCGTGTCCTGGACATCACGATGGACTCGTTCGAGATGAACCCCGGGTACTCGATTCTGCTGAACATCATCTCGATGTTCAAGCGGGTGAGTTGTTACGAATCTTATCTGGATCTGATGCCCAGTACGATGCATCTGAAGTCAGGAGAGCTGCCCGATCTGACAATCGTGACGAAGTCACGATCTAATCAGAATTCGACCTTTGCGTTCGCTGAAAGGGTCGGTTCCAAGCAGTGTTTTCTCTTGATTCCCTGGGGCTTTTCAACAGTTGTCGCATTGGCGTCTTTCTGTCCCCTTTGTTATGCTCAATTACATGGCCGTGTCGGTCCTGATTGAGCAGTTAACGTTTTAGGCCTACTTCCGCTTTTCCATATATGGTCATTCTCACCCCTTGTCGTCATCATCGCACAGTCCGGTCGTGCTCAAGTACTCGGCTTCAAGTTCCAGTACTACCAACGGGAGCAAGTCTCCCAAGCGACCCCACAAAGCCTATACCGACTGGCGGGCCGACTCATCAAAGAGGACCTGATCGACATCGATGCCTTGTGAGTCATCCGAACTGCTGAAGCGAACAGACTTTCAAGAGCTGGATACTACATAAGAACGTCTAGATGCAATGCAAAAACGCTGTGCCAGTTCTGGCCTTCCCGACTTGCTTCCGGTGCTGTGCCGTTCGGTGCCATGATTAGCCTCCACCTGGCATCTGGTTGTTACTCGTCTCCCACGTTCTTTGGAGTTCGAACTGTTACGCTTAACCTGCATGCATTTGGATTTGAAAACTATTGGCAGGTTGTTCCGCTGGTTCACCGTCCGAACTGTTCGCTATTCTACTTCTCCTCAGGTGGCCTCATTTGACTCCTTCAGACGAGGAGGGCGTGGAGGAATACCAGACCTGGCTCAAAGAGAGGGTGGCCGAGGTGAGTTTGATTGACCGTGGTCTCGAGTTCGAACATACCATCGATCAAGTCAAAGCGTCAGAGCTGCTGAAAGCGTTTACCCGCAGGAAAGAAGCACCGTCAAACTTTCTGCGGTTTCATGCTGTCAGTAGAGTTTGCGGCCACCCCATTACGTTGATGGCACCTTGATTGTCACTTCGCCGAAAGCCCGAGTTGCTGCCATCATGTATTTGACTTCTGCCAGACTCCATCGCGATTCAGTGTTTGAATGCCGTAACGTCTCTGACTCCTGCAGGCAAACCGTTACGGCGTCGTCAACCTCGCGTCGACCGAGGCTACGGGAGCCGAGTCTGAGCAGGTCACGCCGGCCAATCAGAACGTGGACGTCTCGCGGCCGGCTGCGTTCGAAGAGGAGGGCGTGAAGCAGCAGCAAGAGAAGCTGGGCAGACATCAGAAGCTCGGACTGCTGGAAGGTCTCCTGCATGCTGATGACTGGTGAGGGTTTCCTTTCAAAGCGTCTCTTGTAAGGGCAAGTTTCTGTGCTGTACCCGTCGAAGGGCTTTCTCTTCACGTCTTAGTGAGGAAAAGGGCCATCCGTACGTTGTGATATGGACTAATCAAGTGGCTGACTGACTCTGAGTCGGGTCCCCAAAGTTTTCTCTTTCAGGGCCCAAAAAGTTTACATCTCAGGATTCGAGTTTATTCCCAAAAATCCACCCTTTCTTGCTTCGGGAAAACCAAATTTCGGTTCCGAGCACACATCTTTGGGCTTCCGTTTCGCATGTCCGCTTTGTACGTCTCTGCGTCAAGCAGCTTGGCAATCTGGTCGTCAGAGGCGTATTGCTATATCTATTCTTCGACGAATTGAGTGACTATGGCTCACGCCTTTACTGCAGGACGCGTGCCCAGATGGTATTAGAACGGCTCGGCGGACTTGCACCCCTGTCTTGGCCTCCTGTTGCCAAGGCCCTCTGCAGGCAAGTCTTGCATCCCGGAAACACGAAGTGTGTTGCTCTACCATGACGGATTTTGTCGTGGACAAGACCTTGATTCGCTCTTCGTCCCTGTCTGATTGATTCATTGGTTGCACCCCTCGGATGTTTGCCTTTGAGTTTGACGTGTAAGGGAGGATTGTCGGTCTTGTTTGTCGATTCTTGGTGAGGCAGGCACAAACGGTCATGCCTGTGCAAAGTCAAATGAGTTTTCGGTACCGCTCATCGCAGAATCTTTTACAAGCTAGTAGGCGGGAGGCAGCCACCGCTGCTTACGAGCCCTTTGACACGCCCTTCTCTTTTATGCCTCATCTTGTTCTGACTGTGTCTCCGTTTGCTTTCTCAGGGCTGTTACTCTCAATGTCGCCCCCTTTTACTCCGCCACCCAGCTCCCTTACCTCTCCGGCAAGAAGAGCAGCTCTGCCGCAGTGGCGCCGAACGACGAAACGCCCTCCAGTTTCCATCTTTCCGAGGCCGTTGTCATCCCAGCCAGAGTCGTCAACATGCTGTTGACGTTGGGACCCTACCTGTACAGAGACGGTGCGCTTTTCACGAAGGTGAGGGACGAGCGGGGGCCTTCGAAATTGAAAGCTCTATTTCTTGTCGACCATGATTGAGGATCAGGGCACGAGCAAAGTTGCCCATCTTTTTGCCCTGATTTGTGTGGCGGGCAGGTTGTGAATGAAGACTCAGTTGAAACTGGAGGAGAAGCAATCTGCTTGCGCTGCATCCTTCCCACCATTGGTACTCGTTCTGTGCTGCATCATTGTGGTGCTGTTCTGCTGGGTTGCTTCATCTAAGGCTCTAAGCCCAAGCTTTCTGAAAACCGCTTTCTACGGGCGACGAAAAGACGAATTGGAACGATCCCTCTTTCCTTCTTCGCTCTCTTCTCGCTCCCTATCTGGATTTGGCGACTTTTAAGCATAACTGTCTCCTGCCAGGTTTGCCGATCTCTCCGGGCTCACATCCTGACGGCGGCCTACGGATTCCCGCTGCCCAACTTCCACGTCAGCGCAGTCTTTGGAGTGGTCCAAGACGGCGTCATCGACGCCTGCACTCCCGGGCTCCAGAGCGCAATCAGAAATGCTGCGACAGTCCTCGAGAAGGTTCTTTTGCCGGCCCTTATGGTCACGCCAGCGAACCCGGCGATGTCGTTTGAGGTCTGGGAGGTCCTGAAGCTGCTGCCGTACGAGGTGCGTCGCCTGGGGCTGATACCCGTTGATCTCTCGAAGTCCGTTTCTTCTGCTTACGGAAGAAAAACGAGGGGTGGGGGATCTCGATGGTTTAACAAGTCGGTGGAGACCTTTGAGGAGACACGTGCCCTCTTCAGCTGAGTGCGGAAAGCCGCTGGGTGGCAACAGCAACACTGTGCACGGAGTAGCGGGAGCTGTTTGTGGGTGAAGAGTAAGAGGCGTCTGTGTTTGAGGAACAGAGCGGTTCGTTGGTCTTCTGGAATGTCGTTCGACCTCCTGGTGTGATACTCCTCAAGGGGGCGGCAGCAGCAAACGTACAACAGCAGACCCATATTGTGTACGTTTCGATTTCCATTGCTGCAAGGGTGGGGCGCTACAGAAGGCGGAGCCTGGTAGTCCGATTGGAATGGGCAATTGTAGGGACCGACAAATAATTCGGGGTTCCATCGGCTGAAGGGTCTAAACTGCGGTCCCGAATCATTGCAATGGTGGCTTTAATGGGCGGTCGAAGCATTCGTATGTGCGACAGGCTTATAGGGAAGCCTGGTGGCATTGGAGAATGAAGCGAAAAGGGAGGCTTTCGCAGCTCGAGTCGGCATTCTGCTTGAGGTGTCACTTCGATTTCTGCTGAGATGCTTCTCGAAGAGCTGTCCTTGATCCGCTAGGTTAGGTTTCTAATAGTGCTTCTGCGAACGCTGTTTCGCTGAGTTCCTCTTTCCGATGCTCTGCTGGAACAGATTCTCTCGTCGATCAGCCAGATTGTGCATCTACACTAATTACGAACGTCTGCCAGGTCTCAGTACTATGCGCTGACACTGAGTGAGCTTTCGCTATCTGGTGCTCACTGGCTATTACATGCCTACTCTTTCGCTCCAAGTCGTTACCTCTTTTGCCAACGGAGCGATCCCATAATACCTTTTTCTGCTTGATGCAGCTGCGTTACGAACTCTACGGCACTTGGGACAGTGTTGGGGCCGGCAACAACCAGGAGGAACTCGAAAAGTGGCTTCCCATGCTGATTTTCGCGCGGAAGTTTGCAAATGTAAGTCTCTCTGGTTGTAAGCCTCTTCAGAAAAGCTCCGAAGCAAGGTTGCAGTCCTTCACAGACCAATCGAAGGATTCCCTGTAAGAACTAATCATACCCTGTGCTTCGTATTCGCCTTTAGATGTCATGTAGAGCGATCTTAGTATTTCGTCTGTGCTTGTTTGACCTCCTCGAATTCAGCTTAATCCATTCATAGCAACTTATGCTCTCAAGAGACGATGTTCTCCTAATTGGAGGACTCAGAACGACCCCCATCTCTCTTCAGGTCGAGGCACGGAAGATTCTTCGCCGAGTCGCTGACATCAAGGACAAGGCTTTCCAGCAGCATGAGCTGCTCCTCAATAAGCTGACCCATGCGAACCCTATGGTCACTCTGTCATCCATTGTAAAGCAGGTAAGAGCAGTCAACTCACTGCTGTGCCAGGTTTCTTGAAAAAGTCGCTCCGAACAGTGCTGATGTCTCTCTTCTGGATAAAAATGCGAGGCTTGGGTTGCATAGTGTTTTCTGCAGCTTGCATCTATTCTTGTGCTTTCTAAAGTTCCGTCTGCCGCCTTCTCGTGTCATCTCTTTGCTAAAGTTGCTTCCATCTCGCGGCGTGTAAGCGAAACTCGACTGCTACTGGTCTCCTCATCTCTCCTGTTATGCATCTCGCAGATGGAAAACTACACGGCCATGATTCCAGCCGCAATTGCTGCTTTCAAGGGACTCAACTATGTGAGCCACAACTCTTTTTGGTGCTTGGCGGAGGGCCCTAACCAAAAGGCCACCGTCGGTATCTTTGCAAGAACGAGATTGGAGCCCCTTTCATAGGCACTTAGCGAGCTTGCCAAGCTGCCAAGTATCTCTGCAATCAAACACCCAGTCCGAGGACTAGCTAGACATACGGAATTCTTCACACCGTTGTGCGGCTACTTGCTCTTAGCTCACTTTTTGCTGGTCCGAAGTAGATTGGCCCTCCCTCCGGTTTTGACAGCGTCTCTCCTCTTACTTTCGCAGCTGGAGCATGAGATTGTCGAGTACCTGATTCTTCAGGCCCTCGCCCAGAAACGAGACCGGTTGAAAGACTCGGGCCTCGACACCGCGGACTGGCTGCAGCACCTCGCGGAGTTTGTGGGTTCATGGTGAGAAAGACGCGTCACTTCAAGCTTCTTACTGTAATCGGAGCTTCTTGGGAGAACTCCGCTTTTGTACACAACACCTTTTCCTTATCCCATGAGCTTTTCCCCCTGGTTTCCACCACATTTCGCATTTATTAATCGACCAATTGGGCCGATCCGTGCTGCCTGTCTGTGCAGAGTAATACTCCTCGAGGCGTTGTGGAATAGCCGATCTGGATCGCAGCGCGGAGTCTGTGCTTTTCAGCAGCGTCCTTTCGTTAAGCGTCAGATTTCGTGAACTTGTCATCGGGCAGGAATCATGACGGAATGACGGGATTAGCGACTTACAAGCTGGTGTCAGGACAAACTGCCCTTTCAGATCCGAGGGGCCCTTTATGCCTCAGCCTCCTTTGTAACTTTTTGTTGGGGCAATAAGCAGGATTGCCCTCAAACCTTTACGTATTTGAAACTTTTGCAGGGGCAAGAAGCACCACAGCGTCATCAACCTCCACGGCATCCTCCAGATGATGGTCAAGCAGGCCATCAACGGGCAGCCCTGGGACCTGGTCATTCTGCAGGTAGAAAACGGCTGGGCTTTTGACGACCCCAGCAGACATCATGATTATATGCTTAATGGACTTACCGCAAGTGCACAGTCTACTTTCACCTGGCTGTTTGATGATGGTCAGATATCGATATTGCGAAATGCACACCCGCAAGTTGGGGTCCTCCCTTTGGGGTTTATTGATAGTTCCCTTGCGCCTCAGAAGGTGGTTGAACGCTTTCGTTGGTCCTGAACGGGTCCCTTGGGCCTGAACTGGTCCGTTGTTCTTATGGCCCTGAATGCTTCTCTTGAGGCGAATCGATTTGCCTGGTTGTAATTAGAGTTTCTTCCCTGTTGGACTACTCGCTTGTAGCTGCTCTCGGACTTTTAATCATAAGTCTTTTGTCAAGGCGAGTACAGTCGATCCAACTGATTGTAATCAGAACTTTCCTTCTCCAAATTATCATTGGAGTACTAGCCTATGCTGCGTTCCGACCGGATATCCTCTCGAAGTAAGTCGATCCGACTGCTTGTGATCAGGACTCTCTTCTTTCTGGACTACTAGTCACTGCCCTTTATTTTGACAGTGGTTTCTACGCGGTATCAGGGACGTTCGATCACGCTTTTCACGGATTGATCAGACGTTTTACTCATCAATCAATAGATGTTCTTAACCGGGTTATTTGTCTATCGAACAGGAGATGCTCGGCCAGATGGCCAACGTCCGAGTGGTCGAAGACACTCAGGAGGACCTGCAAGAAGCCATGGCCGGAGGGGAAAAGCTCTACTTCGAGGCGTTCAACATCGGAAGCATGAAGCTAACAAAGCAAGAGACCAAGGTGAGCCTGACTGCCCTCGCCAAAGAGCTGCCCATGAATCTTGTGTCATTCTCAAGCTTTATGCAGTTAAGCTTCAATGTTTTCAAGCCCTTGCATGGAACGATTTTCTCCTCCAAGTACAAGAAGGGCAATTTCGCATTGAACTTTAGCTCGGACAGGCTGTCAATCCCGTGGCAGAAGTCTTTCACTTTTCGAAGATGAACGGCATGTGTTTCCTGTTTCCTCAAAGTCTTTAAACCGCTGTTTGCCAGGGTCAACTGACAGGGACTCGGCTGGTTAACTGCCACTCGATTGTATTTTATGGCTAAAGTGCCGCTCTTGCTGAACAATAGCGAAATTACGGATCCTTTGCTCTTGCAGACTGTAAATAAGGCGCTAGTAAAACTCAAGGAGACGCTGTATCCCAGCCCCGAGGATGCACCCCGCCTCGCGATGCCGCTCCTCATTGGCATCGCCCAACTACGGAACAGGTGAGCAAGGCACCCGCTCTGCCGTCACGAAAAGCTTCTGTTTACCGTCAAAAGCTATGTCCCAGCCTCAGGTCTTCCTCTGGAGAAGCGCCTTTCAATCTCTTCGGCCAAACTCGGCATACAAAGCCCAACAGCTTTGTACCCTTTCACATACTTGGGTGCTACAACTGTGGTCTAGCCTCTCTCATTTTCTGCCCTCGGCGGCCAGCATGGCAGCAGCGTGGCCAACCGTCCGCAGATTCGTACTCGAGCTTGTATGCCGCTGAATTGCCTTTGAGTGTCCATCTTCTCGGGCGACACGCGAGCATCTCGGCAGACCTGGAGGGCGCAGCACTTCTGCTCACATACTTGTTTGTATCTATATGTCAGCTTCTGCAGCAACTCAAATCAAAGATTCACTCAAGCGCAAATCCTATCTGCAGAATCCTGTACGAGGCCGACCCCTTCTCCATGCCCACGCCGAATGTCAAGGTCACGGGGGGCCAATACGATATGCTGCACAAGATCTTCATCCAGCTGTACGAGTACCTAGTGAAAGCGGTCCCCGAGGCCGAATTCGCGTCGCTGGTACCTCCCCTGAACGAGCTCGTGCACTCGTACCATCTCGAACCAGAGGTACATGATAACCTTTTTCTTTCCTTTAAGATTTGAAATATTCGTGAGAAGTTGGGCGCTTCTGAACTCGGAGTCACACGCGTTGTTCCCGGACTGTTTAAAGGCTGCTGGAAGCACGCACGTTGGATTGGATCGCTCGACTGCAATTCTCGAAGCTCGTCTGGGCCGTCCTCCACTCTGATAATTGATCCGCTTCTTTTGAGACAATCTGTTCGCCAACGGAGTGACGGTTTGCTATCCATGCCCTGCTTCTTACGCCAGGACGCTTCAACTTCTCACTTAAGAAGCAAGTTGTGTATAACTGACCGTATATCCGGTTCGATCTTCAGCTGGCGATGCTTATCTATCGCCCGGTGCTCCAAGACCTGAAGCTCAAGCCGGCCCCGAAGTTGGCGCGCCCTTCGGAGGCCAACGGCGATGCGTTGGAAGAGGCAGTCACTGACTGGACGACCGAACCCGCTGACGACAACCAGCTAGCAGTAAAGCTGGGCGACGTCACGCTCACGTACGTAGAGCCTGCTCCTCCTCGCTTCTCACGAATGTTGAATTCTCTTGTTCGTGAGTGTGTTCTCCCCCGCAGAGCCTCCGGATAATGACTCCGTGTCGTCAAGTTGCCTCGTCTCTGGCTCGTTCTCGTGCTGCCGACCACCAAATTTGAGCTCCCCAAAGTCAATTCAAATTCTGGAAGGCTCCTTGGATCTATCCTCTTGACAGACGACAAGAAACGTGAGTTTCAGAAGCTTGCTTTCATCCTACAGTTATTTTCAGGTCTTATTGCCTTGATCAATTTGCAGAACCAGGAAGTTGTACGAGACGCCTTCTGACCAAAGTCACCGCTTTATCTGATATAATCTCGTTCGCGGCAGTCAGCACTAGAGCACGACATTCCCCTCGCCAGGCTGCGCTTACTTTCTTTCATTTCACTGCCAACAATTTGCTTAAAGCATAGTAGATTCGAGTAGATTCGAGTAAAAACCGCTCCCCTTCTGCAACGCAACAGCACCCTTGCTTTCTTGAATCTGCGGTTTTACAAATGGCCGAGGTCTAACTGAAAATTTTGCCCACAAAAGCAGTCATTTTCGATTTCAAAATCAAAAAGGTAACTCTTTTGTTAATTCGTTCTAGAACCTTCTCAGGTGGAAGAGCTTGCTGGGGACGGTCCAGTCGTTCCACGCCCCTGCCACGTGGCACATCATGAGCCCCCTCCTGTACCTGCGCTTCTGGAGCCTGTCCCTCTCCGACATCTACGTCCCGAAAGCGCGCTACCTGTCCGAGATCGAAAAGGTTCAGAAGGCGGCCAAAGACGCGGCCAAGGAGGCGGAGTCGCTGACGGGGTCGGACCAGAAGAAGCGGGACCGCGAGGCCAAGTTTCTGAGGGTGGGCTAGCTTTGGCTTCGTTCCGTTTCCGTTTCCGTGTCCGTTGCCGTTGTCGATACCGCTTCGTTTCCGGGCCCCATCAGCCCTCTTCAGATCACTCGCGTCTGGTTCGCTAACTCTAGCTCTGCGGGCGCTTTGTGAGGCCGAGTTCTCAACTGTGCGATACATTTGCCGTTGTTACTCCACGTGTTTTCAACGTTGTAGTGGCGTTTCTTCCTTCGATTTGTGGAATGTCGGACGCTTCGTCAGTCTATGTTTTGTGTAAAGGGTGGGCGAACTTTGCCTTCCATTTTCACGTTTGCTCAGTGAAGTATTTGGTGATTGCTTCTCCACATTTTGTGTTTTTCTGGGCGCTTAGTGTTCTGTTGAAGGCAATTGTCGTAAGATCTTCCTAGTGAACTTGGAATTTGAAGTTCCCGTGCATCTCTCTGCTGGAGCACTCGCAGGCTGCTTTCTCCTGCTAACGCTGCCTGCGATTGCTCTGTCCAGGATACGGTCACAAACTTGGAGAACGAGCTAGCAGCGCAGGAGAAGACTGTCGAGGCTGTCAAGCAGATTCTGGTAAGATTCACGTGCTCACGACTAAGACATCCCTCGAAAGGATCCTACGCAATTTATTGCAAGCCATGATGGCTTTCTTCGGTCGGACAAGGAACTACCGAAGAAACTTATCCTCCCAAGCAATGGGATGCTCGGTCTCCTCAACGAAGGCTTCAGCTGCTACCTATCTCTCCTCGTTGTTCGCTTCTGCTGCAAACAGACGTCCAAAGCCCTTCTTCGGTGCATTCGTGTCACCAGTCGCTTCTGCTTCTAAGATTCACAAAGTCGGCTTTTCTTGTACAAAGCCTAGCTTTTGCAACCTGCAGATCCGGGAGAAGGACCAGTGGCAGATTCGCCACAAGAAGGCTGGGGACCGTGCGTCAACCGAGCGCGTACTCAGCGATCAGGCCTGTGGCGATCGCGCCGCTGACGGGCGGCCAACCGACGACCCTCCAGAGAAGCGCACCGCAATCTCTGATTTTTTCCAGGTACGGCAGACCCCCTTGGCGTGAAAGTGTATTGCTGCGGGTTTCGTTCGTTGAGGTTGTATTCAAAACAGGCTCCTGATTGCTTTTGTCGGCAATCAGTGTCGGATATTTGGTAGTTTTACTTTGTTTTGAAGCGGCTGCGCGATGTTTCCTCTATAACCAGTTGCGTGATGGCTGCTGTTGCAAAGTAGAGCACCTGTCTGCAATGTCAGCTCGTTCGTACTTGGTTCAATTCTAAGCTGACCCACACGTTGTAGGCATTCTGACTGGGTTACATGTTGTATCAGAACTCATCGTGAACTCGTACGTTATGTAAAATCAGTGGCATAATCAGCGCTCTTGTCACGGATCTGGGATCACCCAAAAGAACAGCCTTTTGTTTCAAATGAAATAAGCTCAACCGTGAAGTCTCTCAAAACACTATACTGCAGACCCAACGAGGTGATTATTCAATAATGAAACCCTTTTAAGCACAGTCCGTCCTCCGTAAATTAACCAGGTGCTCTTGTGCAGACGTGCATCTTTCCACGCGTGACGCTCTCCCTGCCAGACGCGCTCTTCTGCTTCCATGTGAGCACCGGACCCACCTCTTGATCGCTTAAAAGAATCGCTTAAAACTAATCATACGAGATTTTTCGTTTTTGGAACTGTTTTGTCAATGCCGCGTCACAAGGAAAGCTTTCATACGCAAGAGGCTGCGAAACACTGAAAGTTCAAATGCTGCGAGCGGAGTCGTGCAATAACTGCGGCTGTTTCCCGCCCTCCGTGTAATGCCGACAAGTTGGAACAAGGATCCAACCGCTGCTCCCTGACGAATGTTATTTTTTTTTGCAGTTCCTGAACCTCCTACACGAGATCAACGCCCCTGGCCTTCCCACTATGCAAGTAAGACCGGAATTGCCACAACCCCCTCGAATCTTCTGGGTTATTGCAAACAAGATAAAAGAGCTGCTGCGAATGCGTTCTTTACTCTCCGATTCAGTCTCTGATCGCTAAAATGTTTGGATCCACGCTCTTGAGTAGCCTATCTTGGAATCAGCTCTTGAAGATTGTTCTACATCATGTCTGGTATACCTCTGATAGTCTCGGCTCGATCCTTGAAGACCCCGACTTGTTCCCTTGAACGTTTCAAAGTTGTTGGGTTAGCAGGTCTGATTTGGTTCCAAGTTTGCAGGTCATCACATTTGTGCTCGTGAAAACGCTGGAACCATTGGTCGCCCTCTCCTCGGAGTACGAGGCCCTGCGGTACGGCAAGTTCTTGGGCAAGTTGCTCAAGTTGCTGCAGCACTGGAAGGTGAGGAGTAGAAGATAAGTCTTGAGGTTAAATTGACTTAGGTATAGGTCTATGTTGAGTTAGACCAGTTCCCGGGGCACAAACAAACTAAAACCTGAACTCAAAGTTCACATGCTCCGCACCCGTACCCACCTTAAACCCCCAAACCAACCCGACCCGTCACCCGGGCATAATCTAAGTCAAACCCGGGCATGATGTAAGTCAACGTAGCCGTAATTCAATATAAAATCGATACTACTGAGTAGAAAGGGCTTCTCTGCACCTTGTGTACTTGTATCGTAGGACGAGCCGCTATAACTTGCTTGACTCGTACGCTACTGGTGTTCTGATTTGCGTGCGCACGAAAAGGCAAGGAAAGCGTCTCACGAGCGTCTGTCGTTCGATGCGCTCCTTTCGTTGCCACCTGGTTTTGGACAGCGCTGAGAACCTCAAACTTGTACGTTTGCAAATCTGGAGGATGTAAGTACGTCTTGGATACTTTTCACACAAAAAAAGGTTTCAATGTGGCCTCGTTTCACACATTTGCGATGGCGTTCTGTAGGCTGATGAGGAGACCTTCCAGCGGGAGTGCGCCCGGGAGCCGCACTCGCGCTTGACGGGAAAGGAGAAGGCGTCAAAGTTCCTCGACTACCAAGAAGTATGCCTTTCATTTTTCTCAGTGAAAGCTCATGCTCTCACTTGGCATGGGGTTTTGGAGTGGGCACTGGACATGCATACTCATCTTGAGCAATCGGGGCTTTCAGATGGTCTTACATTTGATCTGGTCTATGTCAATCTCTCAAGTGCAGTGCAATACTAAGTCGACGCTGCGCTGATTGAAAAGTCTAGTCGGGCCGTCGTTTGTGAAGTCTGCGAAAGCAGTCCTTTGCGAGTCATGCACGGTGGCCTTATGTTACGGCGTTGATAGTTCGTCCCTAACGTCGTAATGGAATGCAAAGCGAGCCAAGATCCATTCGCTCGAGAACCGGCGTCAAATCTGGTTGCGGACTTTTGACCGCTAAAGTAGAAGGTCACAATCATTAGGAATTTATTGGCACCAAAAGTAATCACTGGAAGCAACTGCTGACGTATTCATCGTCTTCCTCTCCGTACAGCAAACGTGGAGATGGCACCAGTGGATCACACGGATCATTGGAAGGCACCTGGACTCGAAGGACCCAATGCGCATCAGGAACAGTTTGGTTGTGCTTAAGGAGGTGAGCTGATATTTTCACCATCACAATATTGGGACTGTTACCTTTCCGAGTTGATTCATTTGGACATCTTGGTAAGGTAAGGCGCCTCTTCTGGTGCCCCACTTCCATCCACAAAATCAAGATCAAGAAAGCCATCTTGTGACTGCCCAGCAGCTCTGCTAGCACGCCGTCCGGTTTCGTGATGCACAGTCGTATCGTCCCTGAAAGAAGAAGGACGGTCCTTCAACAATACAAATCCACATCAGCAGCAGAAGACCTAGTAGATCCTCTTGTGACGTCATTATGCTGCTTCTTTCTTTCCCCATCCTTGTTATCGTTGCGGCTGCACCAATCCAATAGGGTGCAATCGTGCCAGGTCTGATTGATAGCCATCTTGCTAGCAATCTCCGTCCACCGTCGAGGATATGTTTCGGCCTAGGGTGTCAGTGGACGTCAGCGAGATGTGGCAGCTTTGCAAGCGACTATTAATGCTCACCAGACCCTTTCCGCTAGATTCTAGAGGTTTGGCAAGACGTCTGACAGGGCACTGATGCCGGCTGATGTCATCTCTCCTGCAGTTGAAAGACATCTTCCCGGCCGTCAAGAAGCACGCGAGGATCTTCGAGCTCAAAGTAAGCATCTACTGCCAGTTCGCAGCTGGCCAACGACGAGACGTCGAGTCATGCTATTTCAGCCCTCACTGAGTCTTATGATAATCACACCGCCGGGGTCCAGGTTGGAAGCTCGCAAGGACGGGAGTCTTCCGGATTAACCGGAAAAGAGACAGCAAAAGGGGTCCGGAGATTGTCTGGAGGGCCATGTCGATAGCCGTAGTCAGATATTGCTGGACTGTGCTCGACGTAGTGTCTCCTGCTTACCGCGCCTGTCATTTCAGCTGTCCACTCCTTTTTCCTGGTATGCGTCTCAGAGATACTTTGGATTGATTCGTTCTCGCTACTTCTCCCTCAATCAGGGTGGGTCAAAGTAGTGAATGGAAGCAAGCGCTGGTCCCTTTCCTTAATCGCCCTGATCGGTCTGTGCTTCCTCGATGCTTCCTGATCACACCGGTCATCTTATGTTTCATATGCTTACTAATCTTCTGCTTTCTCCGAATCCAGCTGGAGAAATTGATCAATGGAAAGGAAACGACGGAAGACATCCTGATTATTGCCCGCAGCTACAAGGGCATATTGATTCAAAAACAGGTGAGCTTGGACTCAATTTGGCATGGCTCTCAAATAACCAAGTATGCATGCTGCTTAGGCGTCTCTCTAAGCAAAGTGCGCATGTGAGCAGCCTCGTTCCTCCAGGCCACTTTCAGACGACGGTTCCTGCAGGTTCTCTGCCATGCAATCAATCCTGTGGGTCTATCATCAAGCCCCCGAGGCAGAAAATTTCATTCCTTTTGGCACCGAAGTGGACAGTGAAGGAATCAATATCGAAGCATTTTTGCGCTCATCAGTTGATGCAAAGGTCAGCCTCATTTTTCGCTTGCTCTCCGGAAGTTTCTGGTCTGTCGCTGCCACATGAAACTCCCTTTGCTGCGTCTGCTTCAAAACCAGACAGTGACGGTGTGCCCTCTCGTTGAAGACCAGCTTTGTTGCCTTTCCTTGCTCACTGGAATTCTCTATTTTTGTCGCTGCGTTGAACACTGCCTGTGCCTGCTTCAGAATACAATGGTGGCCCCTCACGTCTTCAACCCGAGACTGGACCCGCCGCCCGCACGCGAATCCACGCCGGCATCCGGGCGCTCTCAGCAAGCCTCCCTTCCTCCGAAGGCGAGCCCCCTCGGACCGAGCAGACCGCCAAGCGGCAAACCGGCGGCAACGGCAGGTGTTGCGGCATCGGGTGTGAGCAAACGGGAAAGCGCGAGCGATCTGACAGCTGTCGACCAAGCGGTCAAAGCGAAACCCGCGGTGAATGGAGTCGCGAAGGAGGCGAAAGCGGTTGAGGGAAGGGAGCAGAAACTAGAAAGGGGAGAAGGGAGCCCGGCGAGAGTTGTGCCGGGTAGGGAGGAGACGAGCACCCCGGGATCGAGGCTCAACCCGAACGCCAAGCCGTTTGCGCCGAAGGACGAGCCGAAAACGAAAGCGGAGGAGAAGGTGGAGGACAAGCGGTCTAAGCGGCAGGAATGGAGGCCCAAAGAGGCGAAAGCGGAGCCGAAAGTCGAGCCGAAGCCGGACGATACAGAGCAAGAAGAGGGGGAGATTAGCGCGACGCCGGACCGGAAGCACGAGCCGGACTTTGAGGACGAGCACCGGCCGCGAGTTTCGGACGTCCGAAAAGAGAGCCCCGTCCGTAGAGAGAGCCCCGCCCGGAAAGACCGGGAGAGCGCTCCCTCGGCTGGCGAGAAGGTTCCGCTCGGGAAGCTACTGGCAACGGTCAACCGGAGGGAGAGCGTTCCGGACAGGGGGGCGCCGGAACGGACAATTCCCAGGGGACCGGCCCCCCTGCCGCCGGTGAAGAAGGACAAGGACGGGGGCCGTGACGTCAGCGCGACCCGGGAGCGAGGGAAAGAGAGCGACGTTGGCAGGGGTCGGGATGGTGACGTTGGCAGGGGGTCAGACGCGGCGAGAGAAGGACTGAAATCGGGGAGGGAAAGCGGCGAGTCGAGGGGGATCCCCAGGAACGATTCGAAGGACGGGTTAAGGGACGTGGTTAGTGAAAGGGACGGGCTAAAACCGCGGGAGCCGGCCACTGGTACACCCCCAGGGTTTCCCCCGCGTTCAAGACCGAACAGTGGTACTGCGGAGGGGAAGCACGGGGAGAAGCTGACAAGCGGAGTGTCGGAGCGGTTGGGAAGCCTGAAGGAGGGGAAGGCGACGTCGCGAGATGTAGAAAAGCGTGCCAAAGAAGCGGAGCCTCGGAGAGGCCCTGTGAGAGACGAGGTTGAAGGTCGGGAAAGCAGGAAGGCTCTGCTGCGGGATGCGCCCACCGCGGAAATGGGGCCCAAGGTGGCGGAGGGGCGGGTTAGGGTTGATGAACCAGAGGGAAAGAGGGTTAAAGGCGAGACCCGGGTGTCTGAGAGGAGCAACAACGGTCGGGATGTGATTGACGCACGGACGAAACTGCCGTCTGTAGACCGGAAGGCCGGTTTGGAGGAGCGGTTATTGGGTGCGGACGAACGGAAACTCTCCGGCGGGGCGGAAGAGCGGAGGGGTTCCAAGATTATTAGTCTAAGCGGGCGGTCGAAAGCGTCACGGGAGGAAGGCGAGATTGCGGAGCGGCCGGACGTCCGTAAGCGCCTCTCGGCATCGCCCGCGGACCGGCGGGCTTCGGAGGAGGGGGGCAGAAAGGACCGGGGCAAGCGCCCCCCGAAAGAGGACCGGGAGGAGCCGGAACGCGAGCGAAAGCGGCACAAGCACGATTTGGACGCCCATCCGTCGGACCAGCGGCAGGTCGTCCGAAGCTTAGCGACGGTCGATCCGCCCCGGCGAGTGGTTCTAGATGACGACCACCCCCGGAGAGCGTTTCCCGAGGAGCTCCCGCGCCGGGGGGGGTTCGACGACCGGGTCAGGGGCTCGGTTGATGAGCCCCGCAGGGGGGTGTACGAGGACCGCGGCCGGTTTCTCCCGGACGACGACGGGCGGGGGGGGGCGTGAGAGAAGTCGTGGAAAGCGCGCGCGGGCCGTATAGGGATTTCCGGGCGTCAGAGGAGGTGGAGGAGCGGCATCGGCGGAAGGAGCCGCCGGCAGAACTGAGGAGACGGGGGCCGGACGGCGAGCGGATGGGGCGGAGTTTCAGCCCGGTGCCGGAACGGGGGGGGATCACCGGGCGGTTGGAGAGGGTGGAAAAGGACGAGGAGGCGACCAGGCTGCGGGAACAGTTGCTGAAGAAGCAGGTGGGTATGCTCTGTGAATCGAGATTCCTTTGTTTCTTCTCAAGTGTTTTGAAGATAAGAGGTGTGCAAGAGCCTTTTGGTTGCTTGGTTTGGGTGGGACTGCGCCTTGCCAAACAAGTTGAACTGTTGCGAGCCGGGAGCGAACGGGCTGCAGAAAATCTGAGATTCTTGTTAGCGACGAAGGCAAAAGCAGATTTGTTCGGTAACTCGGATTCTCTAATGACTTCGAAGAGAAAGCTCTTGTCGTGTCACCCAGTCAAGTTTGTGCAGGTCGATGCTTTAACCTCCCTCTTTGGAAGGGCACCTAGGAGGAACTCCTGCTTCGAAATGGTTTTTTGCTCCATTTTGACCTGATGACAACATTCTAAATAAAGAGTGCTTGTTTTCAGATGGAGAGGTCTGGCGCAAAGTCGACTGGACCACCACCGGCGTTCGAGCCTTCCCGGAAGAAGGGAAAGTCGGGCGAGCCACATGCGGTCATGTCCGTTGCGGCCATGGAATTGAACGAGGACATTGTTGAGGGGCCAAGCAGGCCCTCGAGAACGGAAAAGCACCATAAGCACGAGAGGCACGAGGAGAAACGAGGCCGGAGTCGTGATTACGATGATGGCGAGCATGAGAGAAAGAAGCACGAGAGGAGGAGCCACGGTGGGAAGAAGCGCCGGCATGAATGAGGCGGACATGCGTTGTTATATGCAAGTCCTTAAGTGAAAGCTCGAGTGCATATTCTATTTCTGTTATTGCGAAGCAAATCTTTGTCGAAGCGAACCGTGCGCCTTGGATACCGCATGTTGGTTAAGTGCAACATCATACTGAGTGCCAATGTTGGTGTGCTGGCACACATTCCAGCAATGTTTGCGACTACTTCGACTTTGATGGAACTTGACAATGTTCAACGGAAGATTTTGGGCAGTGTACAGTACAACTATCGATACAAAGTGACCATACTGCCGACTATTTGCTATAATGCCCATTACGCCTACACGAGCGGTGACTCCTAAGTCGGGCGCGTAGCTGATTTGGCAATGCCGCGCGCAATGCTTGTTGCCAGATATAGGAAGTTACCAACAAACTTAATCAGAAACTACCCACTTCATTTGCAACCTCACGAGGGATTTGAGGTCGATTCCATACGCGTCTAGCTCGCTCGCGACTAGTTATGTAGGTTTGCGACGGTACTGCATTTGAGTGCATCATGTCATAATTCCGGGACGTACTACGGGCCTGTGCATAACGTATATATATTTAGCATTCATTAATAACGAACACCAAGATTTGCAGCTCAACCTGCACACTTCTGGCATACATGTGAAGAGCGGAGGCTGCCAGCTAGACAGTCCGATGACCTAGCTCCGAGCCTAAGTGGCTAAAAGGCCAGCAGCCTGCGCGAATCAAGGGCCCCCGAAATGGTATGGCCGGCTGAAGCCAAGCTATATTGAGCGCATGTGAGTGTATGGGCTACTTCTGCAACTCCTTCAAACTGTTCTTGGCGCGGGTCACCGAATGCAATCGATCAATTTTGTGGTCCAAAACATTCCCTAATCCGGCGCACGTTTTAGACCTCAAAATACACACCCCTTAGTTTTTGATCCTTGGTGTTAGACACAGGTTTCAATTTATGTCATACATGTTCAGTCCGTCCGGTCTCAAGAGGCTATCGACATACTACTGTCAGTCATTGGCACTAAAAAGATGATGCATCAGCTGGCACCTCATATGGTAATCCCGTTCCGAATCATAGCAACGCAGCTTCAAGGCCTCTTCATCGACCATATCGTAACAAGCCACTGCATGGCTGCCCTTGAGAATCTCCTTCACCGCCACATACCGCTCCTTGCACATCGGTTGCACCTCGTGCTCTCTCATCAAAGCCGCGTGTGCCTCTTCTTCTGTGAAGTACTCTGCCTCAGTGGCGTGACCCCTTTTGATACTCTCAGCTTTGTGTTTTGCGTATCCCGGAGCCAAATCTTAAGAGAAGCTGAGAGATGTCACGAACCAACCGGGCTCCTCATCTGCCACTGATTCCAACAGCTCAGGAATCGATTCTTTGCTTTCTTGCTCGGTACCCACCGGTAGCGGGACCCCTTACTCGTATGGGTCTCCGCCAGAGTTGGCTGTGACGTAGTAATAGTCATCCCGTTCCTTGAAAGGCTTCTCCCGCTCCTTGGAACTCGCTTCCTTCTCAACCCTCTCACTCGCCTTCTCAGTCTCATTCACTCCAGTGGAGGCCTCTGCATACGATCGACGCCTGGGCCCCGGATGAACTGAACCTGACAGCCTTTCAACTATAGCTTCCACCCTTCTCTGCAAAGCAGCCCTGTCTAACAGGGACAAGTCATCCTCCTCTTTCTTTACTTCCGCGTCCTCCTCTTCTGCAATTGTATCCTCAGAGGGTTTCATTTCGCCATCTACATCGCCTCTCGCAGCATCAGAGGGTTGCATCTCGTCCGCGACGATAGTATCGCCTTCCTCCGAGAGGTCCTCGTCGGGGGCGTTTAATCCAAGACAAAAGCTGCGCTTGATTTAATCCACGATCCTCAAGACTTCTCTCTTGAAAGCCAGCTGAAGGAGCCCCTCTGGACCACGCTTCAAGAATTGTTTCATGACGCCTGTGCTGATTACAGCGAAAGCGATCGGTTCGGAAACTTGAAGGATCGGGCAGAAGCTGAGCCTATATGTACGTAATTTCCTCACTGAGTCACACTGTTATACTGTATTTCCACACTTTGGATGCAATGGGTGGCGCCTAATTATTGCGGAGGCCTCAAGCTGCTGATCTTAAGTGAAATGGGACTTACCAGAGTGCTCTTAACGAACCGGGGAGCTGCATACTTTCCCAGGCTGAACTCAGGAGTGCAGCCACCACAATCCATTCTCATTCAGCCTTCAACGGAACAGCAGAATATCGGAAGACATGCCTCCTTTTCTTTCGTACGCTGATGCTTCACACTGTGAGCCTTCATGTATAGGGCGGGCGTCCAGTCGTACACGGGGCTCGATCGAGCGGGCCGCCCGCCTGGCGCGACCGTCCTCGGTCGCGCGGGCGGGCCCTGCAGGGTTTCAAATTCAATAATTTTACTCGATGGTCAATCACGTGGCCAGGTTCAGATTCTCCTACGTGGCATACGGAGAATCGCAGTCGCCGCCCGGCAAGGGGCACATAGCTGCCGAATCTTTTGTCAACTTTCGAAACCGGACACCGGACGGGCACAGTCAGTCGTTGTCCGCAGTGCCATATTTTGGGACGCGGTTGGTACCGGGCCTGCTTTTGCCGGACTAAATAATGCTCGGGTTAGCCTGCAAACCACATTAAAATCCTAGGAACAGTGACTTAGCCGTTAGTAGGAACCCTAATCTGAGAGCAGTCACCAGGAAAGGGAGTAACCCTAACAAACCGTCACAGGAAGTGGTGTAACCCTAACACACTATCACTGCTTTGTAGCGCGAGACCCTAAGGTCACTAGGAGTGCCCGGTTGCTTGCTGACGGTGCATACCTTTCGTACGCGGTCGACGGTACCGCTCGAACCGTACCGTACTGAGTACGGTACGGGACTCGCCCCGTGACATGTGGCAGCAACTTGGAGCGTAGATCCTACGGACGGTACACGATCGGACGGTGAAAAGCATATGACTGCCCGCAGTCCGGTGTCCGATTTCGAAAGTTGACAAAAGAATCGGCAGCTTTGGCCGTTTTGCTCGCCGCCCGTCGATTGGTCAACGGCTGCGGATCCCCGCGTGTGACGTCATAACGAACGCGTTTTCCAATGCGCGCCCTCGAGTCAGATTCGGTCTGCCCAACGCTGAGTCATGGCACAGTCGGACAGGGATTCCCAGCCAGGCAACTTCGGCCCTGAGTCACAAATGCACATTTGACGTGGCTTTGCGGGCTGGGAAGTCTCCATCATGCTCATTGGTCTTGAGGGGCCACATTTGCCGCCACGAGTTCGCCTGCTACATCGCATGCAGACGAGGGGCACGCACCGCATTGCGCCGCACGAGAGTCCCCCTGAGCCTCGAGTTTGCTCTCAGCCACTTGCCCGAAGGTTCTCTTTCAGTTTGAGAAGTTCGAAACGCAAGTTGGGGTCGATGAACGCCAGGCGACGAGAGTTTGTTGCAAGAGGAGAGTTGCGATCGGAGCGGTGGCGGCATGCAAGGTGAGTGGGCGGTTCGCTGATGGATGGTGAATCAACTTAGCAGTACGCGGTTTTTTCCTCAGAGTTTCTCAGAGAATGTGGCTCTTTCGGGTAATGCTGTGAAGTTCAATCCTCAAATCAGAGAGGGAGGAAACAGCATTGGTGACGACGTGCATTGTGTCAAAGTGTGGCGCGTATGCGCCCGACTGGAAAAGGTGCAATGCTGTTCATTTCTAAGTACTGTGTAGACCGCAGAAGACCCTCCTCCGGAGGCTGCTGTAGTGGAACACTGAGATGAGACTTCTAAAGTACTGACTTGGGTTGGGCACAGTCAGCATTTAGTATCAGCATTGTTGCTTCGCTGTGGAGATAGCGCCACAGTGCATAAATATAAGTCATCTCAGAACATACTGCAGTGAGGCCTTCGAAACCCCTGTCCAGGCATCACGAAACTCAGCACTCCTGGTAGTAGCATTTGAGTAGTGGATATTTTGTCTGTGCCACCGAGACAGCCATCGGTTATTGGGCAGAAACCCTTGACAGAGTGTTGGCTCTTGCGGTGCATTGCCAGAGTGGCGCCTCATTACCACTTCACAAAGCAACCAGATAGGCTACTTCCCCAGTCAAAAGCAACGTCAAAACCATCTCCCGACTGTCAATCTCTTGCTGGCGCCGCCAGGTGTCAAACTGAGAACTCCAGGGGTTGCTTGACTTCTGACTAAGAAACCCCCCTCTCGCAGGTGACAGCGCCCCTCAGAAATGCACTGCGCTGTATGGTCTCTGACCAACACCGCACCTGCTGCCACATTCCTGGGGAGAAGAGAGTTACTCTGTGAACCAGCTTCTGACGGGTTTCAACAGCCCCAGCTTATCCCCCGAACTAGAAGAGGCTGCTTTCAACCAGCAACCATGCCTTCCGCTGCGGTGCTTCCAATGATTGCGGCTCGCCAGCTGTCAAGCCAAACGGGCCGGGGTCGGAAACCTGCCCAGCCCCCCACGACCACCAAGATTGCTGCGTCGTTTGCAAACGTGGAAGCCCCCATTTTAGGGGGGAAGTCTGAGCCCAAGGTGGTACCCCCCATGGCAGCGCCAGAAGTAATCAGGGCAGTCCCAATGTCATCCAGCCTGGCTGGGAATGCCGCGTATGAGGTGGAGAGGAACACGCTCGAGCGCCAGCTCAGCAGCCTGGACCTGACGATCATCCAAGAGCCTAGCAAAGAACAGGTGATTGCCTCGCTCAGGAAGTCCTGTGTCCAAGCTGTGGCTGAGGCTGTTTTCTGTGGCTTTTCTGGTGTGTTTGAAGTCATGCAATGTGGGTGAGTAACATTACACCGCAACCTCCCAGGGACCTACCATTGAGTAGACATTATTCCTGAACTTGAGTTTGGTACCCAGAGTATCTTCTCCCTTTTGCACAATTGAGGGGTGAGCCCAGCCATCATCCGCCATTTCTCGTTGGGTTCCTCACACTGGGTGAGGAACCCAACAGTGCTCGTTTGAATGTCAGGGGCTTCGCATCCATCCCAAGGACATTCGAGGCAGTTCCAACTCAACTCAAAAAATCCTCGTTGAACTTTGGAGAAGCATTTTCAGCGCTACAGCACAAAAAGGCGACTCAGCTTCGGAGTTCTCTCTCTGCACTTCAGCCATCGATGCCAGCAGGCTCGATTTCGCGCCAAGGTCTTTTAGAAAGACACCGAATAAGAAGCTCAGGACTTCAACAACAGTTCGTACTTATGACTACTTCAGACTAATGCCAGGTGTCGTTGTTTCCTGCCAGGTCGAAGCTGACAACCTCCCCCGCAGTGACATCATCGCCCGCAGTGTGACCATCCTCCGCGAGAACGACTTCGGGGGCTACACCATTCCGGCCAAGGGCCTGTACCCGTACCAGTGGAACTGGGATAGTGCACTGGTTAGTACCTGCCTCATCTTGCTTCACTTTATTCCTTTGTGACCTTCGTTAGCAACATTTTGGTCAGCTCAGCTACTTTTCCAATTTAGTTGTCGAGATTGGACAGTATCCAAGAGTTCTTGAGCTCGGAGTTGCGCTTTGGACTTCCCAAGTGTACTTGGAGGAGTCAGTGAAGAACATTTAGTTTGATTCGAAAAGGGTCTGGAGGGGATGCACAGTGCAAGGAAAGTTCCAATGCCTCGAAAACTACACATATTAAACAAGAAGTATCTGAAACAGCTGGTCGGCTGCTTGACAGCTGTCGAAGATGTCGCTGGTGAACAGCTGACACTTGTGCTAAAACCATCCGGAGCTGCCAATGTTAACAGTCGAGATAACAACTCCCTGGTTTTCTGCTAACATTTTGGGACGATACCTGCTTTTGAAACGAGGGCATCATTCCCCTGCTCCGCCTCTTGGATCCTACTTCGCGTTCAAACCCTTTCGTGACAGGTTGACGAGGCGCGCGCTCGGGAGGACCTCGAGCCTTTTGATGCGATTTAGCCCTCAGATTGGCCTTATACTCTGATTCTTATCGAAATCATAGCATTCTGCAATCAATTTGCTAACCAGTACTTTTAACCGTTCCAGGTCGCGATGGGTTGGGCCATGTTCGACGAGGCGCGCGCATGGGAGGAGCTCGAGACGCTCTTCAGCGCGCAGTGGGCCGACGGCATGGTTCCTCACATCGTCTTCCACCGCCCCTGCTCGACCTACTTCCCAGGGCCTGACACGTGGCAGGCTGGCAGCAGCACGCACTCCAGTACGGGGATCACCCAGCCGCCCGTGGCGGCAATCAGCGTGCGGAAGATCGTGGAGGGGAGCGGGAACCGGGAGGCCGCACTGCGGCGCGCGGCGGCGCTGTTCCCGAAGCTGATGAGGTGGCATAGGTAGGCTGAGAGGAATCACTCTTATTTTGGCTTTTGGTACCCCAATCTTTGTAGCCTAATCTTGGTCTTTGGCTCTGCTACTGGTGGTCTCTGTCGTTGCTACTGGTGGTCTCTGTCGTTTTTTGGGATTCTTACTGTAGAAAAGTGGACGCTCGTCACGTCAGGACTGACGACCATCTTTCAAGTTGAATTCCTTTTGACGTTGAGCTGAAGTAAAAGTAACAGGTATCAAGCAGACCTTGACCATATTTTCTAGGTGGTTTGTAACCGTGCGTGATCCCAAGGGGCGGGGTCTGGTGGCCACGCTGCACCCCTGGGAGAGCGGTATGGACTTGCCACCGTCTTCTGTCTGGTCAATCCGGGTTAGATTGACCTCGTTAACCGACATCTAAATCTGCTCTTTCAGGTGGTTTGTGAGCGCGCGCGATCCCGAGGGGCGGGGTTTGGTGGCGACGCTGCACCCGTAGGAGAGCGGCATGAGCTTGACACCGGATCGTTTGACGCGTATAAAACTTCCGGGTGGCTTACTGCACACACTAAACCCTTCCTAACCGAGGTTTAACCTACTGTTCCAGGTGGTTTGTGACCGCGCGCGACCCCGAGGGGCGGGGTTTGGTGGCGACGCTGCACCCATGGGAGAGCGGCATGGACAACAGCCCCATGTGGGACGAGGCCCTTGCCGCGGTGCCCGTCGACCCCATTCCGCCGTACGTCCGCAAGGACCTCGGACACGTGGACAGCGCCATGCGTCCGAAGCAGGCGGTGAGCGTCCGAGAACTGTCCTTTTTCGTCACAAGGTTTTCTCCTCTGAGACTCCGTCTCATGATGCTTGAACGTCGAAATACAAAAGCCCCTTTTTGTAAGGGTCATCGTTCGTGTTGAGAAAGAAGGATGTGTGGCTCATGTCTCCGAAGGAGGCGGAGAGCGTCCGGAAGTTCGACTGATTTTGAGGCCCTTCCCAATGGTCCGGCGAGATGCCTAGACAAATGCCTCGATTGCTTCGACACCGTTGCTTTCCCAAAAGCCTGGGAAGAGGGTCCTGTAAGCGAGGCTGATCGTCCACGTCGAAATCTCGTGAGTATGACGCCTCAAGAGCTCCGTGCGTTCGCAGCTTTCAGAGCATCCTCCAACACATCTTTAGGGTTTCTCGAATATTTCGGTCCCTACCCTGCCTTCTCTTAGACTGCTAAACTATGAGTGCCAACGCTTCATAATCTTAACTTCAACGTCCGTTCGTTCTGCAGGAGTACGACCGGTACCTGACTCTGCTGTACCGATTCCGCGCGGTGGGTTACGACCCCGCGCAGCTGTACCACATGTCGCCCTTCCGCGTGTCTGACGTGTGCACCAACTCGGTACTGTACCGGGCGAACCGGGACCTCCGCTGGCTTGCACTCCAACTCAACGAAACGGAAGCAGGTTAGTGCTTTCGTGAGGTTTGGAACTGTGAGCAAGATGTGAAACGGCACTCAGCCGGCTGTTGATGTTGGAACAATCGAACGGCTGAGTCTGAGCAGTCCTTGGATTCGCCTTGGTGAAAAGTGCGCTCAACACTGCAGCTCGTGGTTCAAGATGATCTGGAGGGGAGGATTAGCAGTCTCTCACAACTGGTTTCAAACTACATCTTCCTTCCTCGAAACTGTTTCTAAGATCTGATAAGTCGTCCCTTGACACAGACGTCAGTCAAGGACAACGGAAGCCCGGCTGGCTGGTCGTCGTAGAATGATGTTCAGATACTGAAGCAAACACTCGACGTTTTGTAACAGGAAACAGAACACACTACGTTGATTAAAAGTTGCATTACCTGTCTTCCTTCTGTTTCTGAACAACGTCGCTCCCCGCAGTGTTTGAGATCGACTCGTGGCTGGAGCGCGCCCGCGCCGGTTTCGAGACCCTCTGGGACGGTTCCGCCGGAATCTACCGGAGCCAGAACCAGCTGACCGGAACGCTCATCCCGGCCGCCACCAGCGGCGGCTTCCTGCCGCTCTTCGCCGGAGTGCCGTCTACCGACCGCGCCTCAGTGCTCGCGGACACCATCTCCCGGTGGGCGGATTCCGTCCGGTATTCCGTTCCGTCCTTCGATCCGGCGGACGTCCGGTTCGAGCCGCTGCGCTACTGGCGGGGCCCGGTGTGGGCGATCGTGAACTGGATGATCACGGACGGGTTGCGGAGTTATGGGCACCATAAGCTGGCGGAGCGGGTCATACGAGATACGCGCACGCTGACGAGCAGTAGTGGAATGTACGAATATTTCAACCCGATTGACGGCGCGGGTGCTGGGGGCAACAACTTCTCGTGGACGGCCGCCATGTGTTTGATGTGGCTGGACCGGAAAACGGAAGGGCAGTAGCCGGAAGCGGAACCGCAGGGTACCGTAGTACCAGAGAAGGGAACGTAAACAGCAGTCTGAAAAAGAAGCACAGACGGGACAGTTTTGTCACTTGTACAGGAACAGGGGAAAGGGTGGGGATTCATTCGAACCGAACAGTGCTTTCGCGCGTACGTTGCAATTCGAAGATGTCGGGACATCTAAATAATGGGAGAAATCAGTAATGCCGATTCTTTGGATGCCACGCCGGGCTAGTAAGAAGGGTATTGGTAATCGAGTCAGGGCTAATCTGGCCTCTGTTCAGACAAACTATAGATCAGTGTAACATTCATTAAACCTTTCTTAGGGCAGATTGAAACATGAACGCACATTGCGGACCGTCGAAGTGGATATGCAAAAGAAAAGCAGTAGTAATCAGGATGGCCTAGTGATTTGACGGGAATTTGGTTCTAACAGTAGCAACATTCTTTGTCCGGCCTACCATTCTTCCGCGCACTTTCAAACACGATTGTACGGTCTGTTCCATTTATGAACGCGGTTTATCATTCCTTATTGAACGTTACAAAAAAGTTGAACCCTATCTTACAGCATTTTCCTGCGGCTTGGTTCTTACACTGCACACTTGTCAGTATCGAAGCATACCGCGTCGTGCATGCTTTTCGTCTTGCTGATTGCTAAGAAGCATGCCCATGCGTGCATCAACTTTTCTTTCGATTGTCGGTGGTATGTAAGCAATTTGAGTTAATTGGTAAGCTGAATAACCAAGTTCCGGGCTGCATGGTCAGAACCGATCGAATCGATCTCGCAACCTTTGGTGGTATTCATTTGTAACAATGATTGTGAAGTTTAATGATTCATGTCCAAACCGACGAAGAGGTGTGCCTTTCAAGTAAAAAGATCCTATAAAATCATCATGTGTCTCAATATTGCAGTTGCGGCAAGGTCGTCCCGAGTGCGACTGCCCGTGAGGCTAATCGATTGATTATGAGATGTCCGACGCCAGATCTAGCTTATTATTCATCTGATCCGCGCGCACTGCAACTAGTTGACACCTCAAACGTCTTTCGCAGCCGGCATGTAATCCACATGCAAAGCTGAGACACGAGTTCCGCTTTGTAATAGCACGGCAACTATATATTTTAGTATGTGAATTTCCATATGCGTTGCGGTTGCGTCTTTGCTGCATGTATGCTTGGGTGCTCCCTTCCAAATTCTTGAGAACGTACACACCTTTGTAAAAAGTTTCTTTCTGGACTGTGCGGTCAGCCTGCTTATGCTGACGAGAGATGTATGGCCTTATCAAAGCAAAGCACAATCATCCTTTTCGAACAAGTATTGAACATCTCTACGGCATACCTGCTACTTCCATTCTGGCCTCCCTTTTGCCAAAGCTTCTAACTTAGCGGCATTGATCTCTCAACTTTGTCAAAGCCAACACTGCCGTCTAACTAAAGCCACCATCTTCTTAACTTTCATTATCCACTGCCACCTGCAGAACGTCCTTCACCTCCTTGCTGACGTCTTTCCACTCTGTATCGTTACTGACCTCTTTCTTTTCTCTTATTATCAGAGTCTGCCCTGCCCACCGCCCTTGCCTCAGCTCGTCAATATCCCCTCCCCCTTCTCCGACCGAATGAAATAAGCAGCTGAACAAAGCCCGCATTACACCCTCCTCGTCAAGGAGAAAGGAGGTCAGAACCGGAGGCGAGTTCCCAAACGCTGCCGGGTCGAGATTTTCCTTGGCTGTGACGTTGGCGATGACGTGGTGACCGTCTGTGGGGAAGGAGAGCCCCTCAGCGCCCTCGAAAATATCGTGACCATGCAATAAGCGGTACTTCTCAGCTGCAAGAGAGTACAAACCGTCCCCCGAAGAGCTAGCGTTCCATTCCCTCAGCTCCTCTCTCTCCTCAGAGGTCATAAAGGGTGGAAAAATCATCTGAATAGTCTCCAATGAACACCACTCTGTCTCCCGCTCAGGACCCCCAGAGTTTGTTCAGATTTTCCCTGCCCTGCAACAGCTCTTCAGAGCAGAGGAGAAGCGCCAGCATCGGTTTCAGTCCCAGATTGAAAAGCTGCTCTGCCAGCTTGTACCCGCTCGAGAAGCGGCATATCCGGGCCGTGCACGTGCAGTAGACGAGGTAGGACAAACTGCTAAGGGACTGCCTCTTGTCCAGGTTGATAAGTATGTAGTACTGGCCCATGGCGGCGGCCTCAAGGAAGACCCCGACGCTAAGCAATCCAATTTGGCTGTCATGGGATGTGTACTGCTGCCCTGCTCATCTTTAAGAACGGCAGCGCGGCCGCGTGCGCGCCTGATTTGAGCCGGGACCGCGGGAACAGGCTGCGGTTTGCACCGCAATGCGGTCGCGGCCGCAGATTTGTAACGTTAAACCCCGAAACCACCGTGACAAAGCTCGGCGGCCGCGCCTGAGATGAAAAGCAGCGACTTCAATCGTACAAGAGCGCATAAGAGCGTAAAAGCGCAGACGCCAGAGATCGAATAAGGCGCTTCGTCCTTGAATTAGGGGCCATAAATAATACAAGATCCTGGGTGCCAATCAGACTTGTAACATCCGCTGTTGAATGGGGGCCTCAGGGCGCTCGACTTGAGAGGGGGATCACTAGCATCATAAAGCCGTTGTGGTCGCTGATCAGGGGAAGCAAGAAAGTAAGACAACGCTTGCTTCGTTGTCCAGTTTAGGCGGCCAGGGCCTCCGAGTTCAGATCTTGTTGAGATCTGAGCAGCTTCAAACCTGCAAGCGTTGGCCCTCTGAAGCTTGGGGATCAAACGGACCCAGAACCTTTAATACATTTTGAGATCTGAACAAAACTTCGGGGTTTTGAAGAAGAAGGCCTGGAAGCCTTGTCAAACACGTCGCGCTGGTAGAAAACGGTGTCACATAGGAACTGAAAGATTGGTTTGAAGCTGCGGAAAGGAGGGATTCTCCCCATTCGCAAGGCTCGGCCTGATAAGCCGCAGCCAAAGCATTCCAGCCTTACATAGCTGGCGATGGATTCAAGTCGTCTTCAACAGAATAAACCGCGTTTACTTCAAGAACCAGCAAACCTAAAGGTCGCAGAGGCAAACGTATGGGTCCACTTACCCGACGAAGCTTTGTTCATCATCTTCAGCAAGCTTGCTTCCCAGGACCCTCCAACTTTGTTGGCTGCCAGCTCAGCATGCAAAAACTTTTACGCCGTAGCTTCTTCGCACGCTTCCCTGTGGAGATCCGCTTTCTACAGCCCTTTTGAGCCTCCCAGTCCAAAGGAACCTGAAGCAGCAGCTTTTCAGGAAGTAGTGAAAGGATTCGGTGGCTACGAGGCCCTTGTTCGAGCCCGCTGGGCCAAAACAATGTCTCAAAGATTAGCTACAAAGTGTGATGATACCGGGCTAGCTTTCTTCGAGGAGAGTCTCAGAGAGATTGAGTCACGTTCAGAGATACGCTTCTTGATAGTCGTGATGACCATGCAAGAACGGCCCTGCTTTTATGGAGTGGGTCAAGCTAAACTCAACAACGTGGGTAGCGCGCTGAACGTCCGCTGGGGTTTTGACGCCTATATCTCCTCGCAAATCAGCCATCTACATCCCTTGTTTCCGGTCAAAGACCTGCCCGTCGAAGTGACTAAAGTCTCATGGGCGGACGTTGAAGTCGAATTGGAGGCTTACATAGCGTTTGGAAGGGGGTCCGTAAAGTGGGCGCCCCTACACAGACTTATGGAAGAGGGAGAGCATTATCAGCGTCGTTATGAATTCGACACTGCCAGCAGCGTTTGCTGGCACTACAGCGACCCTGAAGTACAAAGATTCCACCAACGAAACGTGGAACTGTGCCTGCACGCTACGTTCGAAGACGCCCAACACAACGGGAGTCGGAGCATAGTAACGAAGAACCAGAGTCATTCAGAGCCTTACGCCAATCTACAACATTCTGGGGCTTTTGTTGACTGGGGTTTATGGATGAACGGCCTGTGCGGAATCGGAAAGAGGCGTCACGTCATCGATGAAGCAGCCGATAGGAAGGGTGGTGGTGATTTTTGTTGCAATATTTGTTGGAGGCCCCTGAAATGGCTGCGGCGATGAGCATGAGGTTTTGCTGCTGAACAGAAAATCAAAGAAGTCGAGCGCTTGGATTTGCCCCTGGAACCTGTAGACGCTTGATGTGGCGCACTGACACTTTCTGTTAAGGATCCATCTGTTATATTATGCATCGAAACAGTCAGATGTATTTCTCTCTGTTCCGGAGATTCTCTGATCGAATCTCCTTGAGACGGATGTCAGAGCCGCCGAAGCCTGTTTTGAGCATAGTGCGGATCATTCCGTTCGACCTCAACGGCAATACTTTTGGCAACTGGTGGCGTGCGGTGCAAAATAGGTATTTTATCTGAAGGACTGTTGCAAAAGCATCAACTATGTTCTCGGCATATTCTCGACTAGTGATTGTCCGCGGCGGCTGAAACTTACATTGTTTTAGAACATGATTTTCTTGATTAAGATCCTCAGTAGTGAGAGTCTTGAATCATCAAAACGCGTCCATTGTCAATTTGCCGATGATGGTCTACGATTCCTGCCAAAGGTTCTGCATTGCTGCATACGTCTCGTACAAGAGAAGACGTACAATTGGCCGTCGTTGCGGTCCTAATAAAGGAGCATAAGAGTGATGGCTTAGTACGGTCATCGAGAAAAGGACCGTCTGGTCGATGTTCTGCTTGGGTTGAGTGCTATGATTGTCGAGGAAAGACTATGATTCCAAGTTATGTATGCCTCTTCCACTCTTGATATGAGAGACATCCCCTTACCTTTTCATACCTTCAGGAGCGGAGAAAGCGCCGAAACGTCACGTGACACCTTTCATGAGGAAGATGCTGAATTGAGATGAAAGTTTTGCTTTTCACCAACGAACAAATCAAGGAGTCTGAGAAATCGAGTCCAGATTATGCACAAATGAGTTTGTCAGTCTACTTCTCAAGAATGCACCAACATGCAATATCTCCTCTGATGAAACGGTTCCTGGATCAAGCTGAAGGAGAGGCGCGAGAAAACCTTCCTACTATGTCTACTCTGCACTTTTGAGAATGAGGCCGGGGAAGGACAGGATACGAAGACGTGACTTTTTTACAAATATTGTATCTGCAGAAGTTGGCGGCCGGCACAAACCGCTTTATATGATGCTCAAAGTTAAATGGCCCGAGCCCACCAAGGCGATGATAGCATTTCGCACTTTATACCCATGAGGAAAGTGTCTAGGACAGGGCTGAAGGAGCACTCTCCTGACGGGCCCCTTCCAGAATAAAAGGTTTCGGCGCTTCGAAGCTCAATGGCTTTAGCCCGCAATTCTATATCTGCGCCGTGTGCCCTGGTCATGAAGTATGAGTATCTACAGCTTTTTGCTCAAGCATAGGAATAGAAGAGGACACGGCACTATGGCTTAGATGGAGGCCTTCCTGCATCCGACTATTGATGGGTCAGTGAGGCGTTCTCGACGCCGCTCCAACTGCCGGCGCCGTCCAAGAGCCGCGGCCGGGCCGGGCGCGGCCGCGCGGGTTAAAGAGCCGCGTGCGCGGCCCGCGCGCGTGCGGCAGCGCTAGAAAGGCCGCACTCCGACTTCAGCTCACTTGATCTGGGGATAGAACATGCGTTGAACCTACCAGAGTACTGGGGGTTTTGAACAAAAGCAGATCCTGAACTCCTTGTTGGTACCGTGAGAACGATCTTGACGTCCGTGATTGTTCGCGGACGCAAACAGCAAGCAGCGTGGTCGGCAAGGCCGGAAAAACCAGAAAAACAAGCCGCAGTCAACCCTCCAGAGCATATCCCAGTCCTGAGGGCTTCGCAGAGTAATCACCGACTCAGTGGCTGGGCAGCCGGCCACTCAAACCATTCAACCAAGATATCAGAAATGAAGCCGCTTTAAGTCCCGCAATCACCAGATTTGAAGATGACTGGGGTAACGCAAGAGGTCCTGTTGCCCGACGAAGCTTTATTCAATATCTAGATCTTCAGCAAGCTCGCTTTGCAGGACCCTCCAATTCTGCATGCTGCCAGCTCAGCTTGTAAGAACTTTTATGCCGTAGCTTCTTCGCACGCTTCCCTATGGAGATCCGCTTTCTACAGCCCCTCAGAACCCCCCGATTCTCAGGAGCGCGAGGCAGCAGCTTTTCAGGAAGTAGTGAAAGGATTCGGTGGTTACGAGGCCCTTGTTCGAGCACGCTGGGCCAAAGAAATGTCTCAGAGATTAGCAACAAAGGGTGACAAGAATGGGCTAGCTTTCTTCGAGGAGAGTCTCAGAAAGATCGAGTCTCGGTCAGAGATACGCTTCTTGATAGTCGTGAGAACAATGCAGGGACGGCTCTGCTTGTATGGAGTGGGTCAAACTTCACTCCAAGTGGGTAGCGCGCTAAATCGCTGGGGTTTTGACGCCTATTTCTATTCCCAAATCAGACACCTGTATCCCCTGTTTCCAATCAAGGACCTGCCAGTTGAGATCACCAGAGTTCCTTGGGCGGATGTCGACGTTCAACTGGAGGCATACATAGCCTTTGGAGGGGGATCCCTAAAGTGGGCGCCTCTATACAGAGATATGGAGGAGAGGGGCCACTTTCAGCGTCGTTATGAATTCGACACTGCCAACAGCGTTTGCTGGCACTACACCGACCCTGAGGTATACGGGTAATTCCACCAACGAAACGTGGAATTGTGCCTGCACGCTACGTTTGAAGACGCCGAACACAACGGGAGTCGGAGCATAGTCATGAAGAAACCGAGTCAATCAGAGCCTTATGCCAATCTGAAAGATTCTGGGGCTTTTGTTGACTGGGGTATACGGATGAACGGACTGTGCGGAGTCGGAAAGAGGCGTCAAGTCTCCGATGGAGCAGCAGAAACGAAGGGTAATTCTGCGGATGGTGGTGACTACTGGTGCAATATATTGTAGGAGGTCCCTGAAGTGGATGCGACGATGAGCCGGTCGCTTTAGCACTGATAAGGACATTCGAAGAAGTTGAGCGCCGGGTTTGATTTGCCCCTGGATTTAAAGACGCTTGATGTGGCGCACTAACACATTCTGTTGAGGATCAATTCTGAGATTTCGCATCGAAATAGTCATATGTATTCTTCTTTTTTTCCGGAGATTCTCTGGTAAAGTTGCCTTGATTCCCTTCAAACCGTTCTCAAAGCCGCCCAAGCATGTTTCGAGCGCAGTGCGGATCATTCCGTTCAACCTCAATGGCAAAATTCATTGCAACTGGTGGCGTGCGGCGCAACTAAGGTAACCTTGTTTGAAGGACTGTTGCAAAAGCGTCACGTATGTTTTCGACATGTTCTCGACTAGTAGCTGCCCGCGGCGCCTGAATCTGACGTGGTTTGAGAACATGCTTTTCTCGATCAAGATCCTCACTTTCCAGAATCTCAGATCGTCGAGACGGGTCCTTTAAGTCAATCTGCCGATGATGGTCCAAGATTCCTGCCAAAGGTTCTGCCTTGCTGCATATAAGAGAAGACGTACAATTGGCCGTCGTTTTGGTCTTCATAAAAAATGCATAAGACTGACGGCTTAGATACGGTCACCAAGAAAACGGACCGTCTGGTCGATGGCTTGCTTAGTTTGAATGCTATGACCGTCCAGGGAAGTTTCGGTTTCAGGTTATGTACGTGCCTCTCCCACTGATGATATGGGACACATCCCCTTACCCCTTCATATCTGATGGAGCGGAGAAAGCGCTGAAACATCACGCGACATATTCCATGAGCAAGATGCTGAAGATAAAAAATTCGTTTGTCACTAACGGAAAAATCAAGAAGTCTACCAACTCTGAAGCTCAGATTCTGCACAGGCGAGTTTGTCGGTGTCTACTATTCAAAAAGCTGGCTGCGACGATTGCGCGTTGGCAGAATGGTGACATAAAGCATTCAAAAGTGTACTGTGAAGGCGTCACAAACGAAATGGATACGGCGACGTATATCTTTTTGGCAAGGAAGTCGCGGAATCATCACACCACGTGTCCCGGATACAAGGGGCATTCAGAATTGATGTTGATGGCACAAATTTGAAGCTGACACAGTAATGCAGCATGAGGGCACGAAGAGGTTTTTGTACGCGATGATGCAAAGCAGATCCATCATACGGGTC